AAATAGCGCTGCATCCAGCAATTCACATTAAATTACAATAAAAACCAATTAAACATTAAAATAACAGGAAAATGAAAAGGTTTATCATCTATTGACTCTGACAGACAAATCATAAGGATTAGGAGAGGTGGCTTCTAGGCAGTGGGGCAGTACATACAGTTTTAGTGTAAGCTTTTAAGAAGCTATCATGGGTAAGTTTCTTTACATTTTCAACTGAAGCCCAGAATGGATACACTGTCCCACTGGCACTGAAGCCACTAGTCACTGCTGATTGTGGGACATTTATTGCAACCTATGGCTTAGTGAAGGAAATCCAAGGCCAGAGCATTTCCAACAGATGACAGTCCAGCTGAAGACCTCCAGGAAGGGAAAGTCCACCACCTTATAGTTGCTTCCATTGGCAAACTGCTCAGGGTAAGACAAGCCTGGACTGGACTAGAAAGTTGATTTGGGAAAGGAAAAATTAGAACTGAATTGAGAGAATTCCACTTTGGGAACTGGATTGGACCTTTTAGCAGAAAAGATACATTGAGAATAAAATATTTTTATTGCCCCCGTTTTCCCCACCATCTGGTACCTGATCTGTTAAACAGGTGATACTGGGGGTTAAACCTCGGACCGTTCACATATTGAAACTTGCCCTATAAACTATGGACCCTCTTCTGCCTGATAACATAAGTGATGATCATATTCAGTAGCTCCAGTTTGATAAGGAAACAACGTGGAGATAATGGTGCAGGTTATAGAAAGGGAGGTAGCCACATTCACTTGAATAAAGCACAGAGAGCCATTCCAGACTCCTGTGAAAACCCCAGACAGCTTTTCTATGAAACACTTCCAGGTACAGCACTTACTGTCACTGGAGAAACTGATATCTGTGAGCTGAGAGTATAGAAAATATACCTCTGTGGAAATATACCTCTCACTGCTGTGTCTATAACTGTGGAAATATACCTCTCACTGTTGTGTCTATAACTTAGATCATCAAAAGTAACACAGCCAGGTATATTTTATCTATTATTCTTAATGGATGTTAGGTTGCCCAAAACTATGTATTTAGCTTTATATAGGCTGTGGGCCACATTGGCTACACTTTGAATAAAGATGCATATATCTATTCAAGTTGCAAGTCTGCCAGTAGAAGCGCAAAATTACATATATCCCAGTTCAAGGGAAACATATTTTGATACTGAGTGGTAGAAATAGCATTTATTTGAGAATCAACGGGTTCTTAATGGTAACATGGCTCTATGGTGACTCAGAACAACATGCTAAACAAATACTCACATCGCTCCTCTGTGCTTGGTTGATTTTAGCCTGCACTACAAGAGGATCATCTTCAATCTGTGTAAATTTAAGAGTGTCTGGATGCTGACGATATTTTCTCTGTTTAAAAAAATAAAAGAAAAAATATTCTTGTTCCATTGAAAAGATGCAGCAAGCAAAGATTTTAAAAATAACTACACTCAAAAATATTAATTTGGTAATCACTAAAAATTATCACTCAAATTTACTCAAAAGAAAATATTTTGGGGATGGGGATAAAGAATTAATAATTTTTCACAAAGTGGACCAAAATGGTTTTCTCCCTAAAAGACAATCTGAGGACTATTTTGGATATCCTAGAATACTACAAGACATACACGGAATAATCAATGGCTCTACTGTTTTTAGATGCCCAGAAAGTCTTTGATAATGTTAATTGGCAATTCATGATGCAACAGACGGACCAAATGGAGTTTGGGGGAAAATTTATGAATGCGATATCAAGCACCTATCAAAGACAATCGGCCAGGATTTTAATTAATGGAGAACATACAAGGGCTATAGAGATACAAAAGGGTACAAGGCAGGGATGCCCGCTGTCACCCCTGCTGTTCATCCTGACTTTAGAGGTCTTGAATAGAAATATTAGGGATGATGAGGACATTAAAGGTACTAAAATTAGGGATGAAAAATATAAATTGCAAGCATTCACAGATGATTTGGTCTTTATAATAGAGGAACCTTTTGTAACAATCCCTAAACTTTTACAACAGATTGAAGAATATGGTGAAGTAACGCGGATGAAAATAAATAAGGAAAAAATGAAACTTTTAGTTAAAAATCTTACGCAAGATCAGAAAAAAAGACTCCAAGATCAAGTGGACTTGCAGATTGTCAAAAAGGTTAAATTCTTGGGAATCTATCTTACAGCTAAATGCACAACTTGGAAAGAAGACGATTACGATAAATTATTGAAAGATATTAAAGGTGATCTGGAAAAATGGGCCAATTCGCAACTGTCTTTGGTGGGAAGAGTTGCACTGGTTACAATGAACACACTGCCAAAACTTTTGTTTTTGTTCCAAACGATCCCCGTAAAAATTGATAAAAAACATTTTGAGGATTTGAATTTGCAAATTTCGAGATTTATTTGGAGAAAAAAGAAAGCAAGGATTAAACTGAAAATGCTTCAGGAAACCAAAAAGAATGGGGGTTTTGGTTTACCAGATTGGATGTTGTACTATCAAGCGTCTATTTTAACTTTGCTAAAAGAAGGGACAACCTTGCAAAATAAGAGAATTTTGTATCTTGAAGGACATGATTTGCAAGTGGGTTGGCAGGCTTATATGCGGTACGAGAAGGTTAAGTCTCATGGGACTTTTTTAAGTCACTTTATTAGAAGATCATTAATGTCAGTGTGGGAAAAGTTAAAGTTGTATAACAAGTTACTAAGATGGCTTTCACCTATGGAAGCTTTTGTGTATCCAAATGTATTGAATTTTGAAGGGATCATAAGATATGATATTTTGGATAAGGATGGAGGCCTGAACCTAGATCAAGAAATACAAGAACAGGGACTCAATATCTCATGGTGGTATAAGGTGCAGATGCAATCAAGATATGCTAAAGATTGTAAAATATGGGGGTTTTATAAAGACCTAGCAGCCTTTGATCAAGTGATGTTAAAAACAGATGAGAAAATGATTAAAAGAATTTATGAGTTCCTACTTGACAGGAAAATGGAAGGGGAACAGGTTAAGGAAACTACGACCACATGGGCACAACATTTTGGATATAATATTGAATTAGAAAAGTGGCAAAAGTTATGGGAGAGAAATATTAAGGTAACTTTAGCAACTTCGTATAAAGAAAATTTATATAAAATGTTTTATAGATGGTATTTGTCGCCAAATCAGTTAACTAAAATGTTGCCAAATATGTCAAACAGATGTTGGAAATGTAAACATGATGTGGGTACTTTTTACCATATGTGGTGGACTTGTGAATATGTGAAAAAGTATTGGATTAAAATACATAAATGGCTTGAGGAAATGCTACAAGAACCCTTAGTTTTTAAATCTGAAATTTTCTTGTTAGGTATTGTACCAGAAAATATTAGCAAACAAGAAATGTATTTGATACTACATTTAATCACAGCAGCTCAATACTGGGCTGTGCAGAAATGGCCAGATTGACTCTATTATTGAAGGAGAAAGAAGATACTGACTTATATCAAAATTGGGACCTTTTTTACAAGTGGCTGGAGAAACGGGACTTGGCTTAGATTTAAAGATGTCTTTAAATTTTTATAAATTGATTTGAATATGATTATAGAATGTTTAAAAGATATGCTATAGGGGGCTGACCCAGTACGTCCGATGTATTTGATGATTATTTTTTTAGTTTTTAGTTTAAAATCTTTATAAAAAATGTGCAAAAAAATTTTTTTCACAAAGTGCATAGTGATATGATGCACCATTAAAATATGTTTCAACAACACAGAGAAAAGTCATCTTAAAAATGATGTAGTCATTTTTTACATTGGAGAGTTACTGTGCCAATCTTTTCTTTCCTTTCTTTCTCGCTCCACCACTTGCCCCTCTCTCTATAGGCACCAGTAATATATGACTACAGCTTAGGAATGTTAAGTTATTAAACAGTATGATAGTATCAAAAATTAATATGTGCATTAGGCCTGCACATATATTGATTTGCCTGTTTATGTTCTTGAGTGCTGCTCCTGTTGCACGTCTGTCTGCTTGAGCTGCAAGATGCTGGAACTGCACACGCATAGCTCTTCTTTAGAAACTCACATGATTTGGGTATGGGACACAATCCATATAGGTATTTGGCACAGAAAGGGGACAGATGAGTGGGTAGGCCCTACTCAATTTATGCAAAAGGACCTGTGTATAATTGCCAATATTCCCAGGTAGGAGTGGAAAGACAGCTGTCTAAGACCTGGAGAATCACTGGCAACCGCATGGAGTAGATGGACCAGTGATCTGACTTTGTGTAAAGAACATTCTATGCTGCAGAGTGAACTGGATTCAGCCCCCCTTTCTCTTCCAAAGAGCCACTGATCAGGATTTTAGTTTTTCAGAAGAATTATACAGATGCAACCTGAGTGTAGGAGAGGCGTTGGGAATCAATTGTGTAGGCTTTCTTTATCTAGAAATGCTGTGGTATAGCCCCTGGTTAGACTGGGGTGAGTAATCATGCTTCTATTTCAGCTTTATGTACCTCACTGATAATATCTGAAGCTCTTTTAACTTTTTCTGCGTCCAAGGACCCATATGGCACCCAGCCACAGCCTTTCATCCAGCTGTTGTAGTCAGCTTTATATTCATTCTGGAAAAGACACCAAAAATGAGAAATGAATCACTTTTAAAAACGAAATTTCTAGCTTGCATGCTCATGCGACATTTATTTCACCTGTCCACTATGTATACAAACCAGTTGCATGCATGCCTGGAATAAATATAAGATTGTAGCACAGGGCAGAAGCTAACAGGGTTCTCATGCCCCTGCTGGTTGGTTCCTTTCTTAGGTACATAACTGCCCTACTGAGTTCTGTCCAAGACTACAGCAGCTGATAAAAATCAAATTTTGTAATTCTGAAGTAGGTACCCTTAAAATGGGCAAATTTACCTTCTTCAAATTCAAAGAATTTTAGATGTTCAGGTTTTTTTCCAGAAAAAGAATAAGCAAAACATATGAACATAAACCATATATTCTCAAAAGCTAAAGGTCAAGCTTCCTGAGTTCCAGTCTATGCACTACCATTAATCAGGAATGTAGTACAGGACTGCGACAAAATGGATGAGCATAAGCCTTTATTTCAAAGGCAAGCTCTCCGTTTTCAAACCTGGAAAACTGTCTGCTTTTCAAACCACAGAGGGTTTCTTTAACACTTCTCCTATACTAATCAACTGTCTCAGAAAGTTAAGAATGTTACTGAAAACTGAAATGTTAGTCACTATCTATTATTCTTTAAAGACTGTTTTTTGTGTGTGTTGGTCTGCTACATTTCCAGATGGCCTTTGGAATTCCTCATCATTTTCTCTATGAATGCTTTAGCTTTTAGAATAAATACTGTAGTGTAGATAGACCATGTTCAAATGTGGTGTTTCCATGATGTATGGTGCCTGGCAAAAAGTATTTGCATCTCTCTTTGTCAGTAGAAAATCTTCTTTATTGAGCAATCCTAGCCATGCAAGACCATAGCTACTTACATCACTTTGTAGAAGATTTGCCTTCTTGGCAAGCTCCACATTAATGCTGTCAGGAGGATAGGAGTAATTGTGAATGATATGCTTGTAGTCTGCATTGCTGATAATCTCCTGCGCCTTCTTTGCTTGGACAATTGGAACCATGTCCAGAGGTGCTGTGTATCTGGCCTTTGATGCTTCATAGCCCTTTTTGTATTCAAGCTATAAGAGAATTAATGCGTACCTTTAAGAGTGAATGCTTTTTATGTTAAAAAAGCAACAGACTTCACAAAATGCAGGTCAATCTATGCCACAAGATATTACTGTAGGAATAATTTGCATTAGTAAATTCCGGGAATGTGAGATGTGGACAAAAAAAAAAAAATCTACTTATCTTAGAATACACAGTCTGCATATGTCAAGTGAAATTTACTTCTGTATCTGAAACTTTTATCAAAAATATTTTGATCATTTAAGACAATTCATATTACCCATTCTAACATCTAATACGAAGACTGACCCTGCTGTGTTCAAAGGGTCTAGCTCCCTAGAAAGAGTGCTAAGGATTGGTAATTCTATCTTCTGATAAGAGAAAATCTGAAAAGTCAATGGATGTAATGTAGGAAAAAACATGTTCCAATAGTTTCACTCTTCCTGCATGCTACATGCACCTAAAGAGTCAACCTGAATATTTTATGGAACTGCTCTAAGACCTTTTATTCTCCTTTGGTGTTAACGGCAGTATTGAATATGACACTATTATACTTTAAAACACTTCAATAAAAATTATTCTGACAATTATTCTTGCTTGTTGTAACATTCCCAGGATGCAGAGAGATGTTTCTCAATAACTGACCTTCACAAAGAATTTAGCACCCTGCCAGTAAACGAGGAATACTAACCACAAGGCATACTTCAGGAGTACTTACATCACTCTGTTGTTTGGCCACTTTCCGAGAAAGCAGCATTTTGGGATCGTCCTCAATACTCAATGCTCCAATTAGCTTCCCTTTGCTCTGCTCATATCCTTTCTTATACTCCACCTAGACAGGGATAGGTTATTAATGTTTACCTGCATTATGTAGCCATTGTGTGCAAAACCAAGGCAATCCCAAAATGCCCTTCATTTCTGTGCAACTTACATCACTTGCAATTTTTTGTTTGGCTTTGGCAGCAAGAATCGGAATGGCATCTACCTTGATGTCGAATTTCTTAGCTTTTGATTGCTCCCAGTCATATTTATACCAATTCTGACAGATAGAAAAGAAAGAGGTATCATGAAGAAGATATCAAATCCATACATTCATTATATAGAACATACAGAGGACTATCATAATTTATATGTTTGAATATTTATGTTTTATAGACCAGAGTTTAACTACTCATATGTTTGAATGACATCAGTGCTCCTGAATTCAGCATTTTCTAAGCATCCAATCAAGGGAGATAGGATGGTAGCGGTACCTTTCATCTCTCCATGATCTTACTCCACATTTGTTGCTAAATGGGCTATTTCGCTCATTTAGCAACAGCACTTTCAGAGGAAGAGGAGAGGATGCTAGAGAGGCCTCATGTATTCTGGGTTGCCTGGTCTTTTCCCCTCCCTAGCCTTGTAATGCCCTCTTTTCTATCTCTCTGAGGCTGGTTTTCTAACTTCGATGAGTAGTCCATGCAGTTTTCTCTATGCCAGCTATAAGGGGGTGGGGGAAGGGGCAGATGTTTGACGTTGGAAGGGGGAATGGCCCCATCAGACTCTGTCTAGGGGCCGTAGGATGGTGGCTTCAGAAATACAAAGGGTGCTTTGACTAGAGAAAGAATTGGAAGTGTCTTTTTCTATTGTACTTAGCCTGTACAATTAGACTATATTTTGCAAAATGTCAACAGCCTACCTTAAAACTCATTCAACAAATATATATCTCCATATAGTTTTATGCAACTTTCTTCAGGCTAAAAAGCCATGGCCTTTAAATGCATGGCAAAGGGGCTTTCTTAGCCTGAGAGTCAAATTCCTATCTTCATTCTTCACATGGTCATACACAACTCCAGCCCCAGGATCTTCTACCAATTTCTCCTATCCCTCCTATACCATGTCTAGGGCCCACTTAGTTGTCCAGGAATGTTCCCATCACTCTAGCCTCAAATATCCTCCCTGCCATACCCAGACAGCCGCTCCCAAATGTTTGTGATTATGAGGTTTCTCTCTACTCCCTGCCTCCAATCCTTTCTGGAATCCCACTGCTCAATCCAGCATCAGCTCTGCATTTTTTCTTGCCTTGCCCACCTCAAGGCACTCTCTTCTTTAATTCTCCTTTCTCCTAAGCTTTCTGCTTAAGAGGAGAGACTTGCAGCTCCTTAAAGAGTCGTGCATTTATTATGTGTTCATAGTTAAGCTTTCTGCTGACATCCTGCTTTAGTCCATGGAAACTTTTCTTGTCCTATGTACCCTCATAGGCAGTTTACAGCCCAGCTGTCAAGCTGTATCTTCTGGCCATTAAAGAGTCACACATGGCTACTTACATCACTGATGTTGTACGCATTGACTCTGGACTGGAGAAACAACGGGGCATCAGGAGGTATGGAACACTGGGATTTTTCAGCCTCATGTTTGGCTTTGTAGTTCAACTGGAATACAGGATAAACAAAACAACACAAAAAGGGACATCATGAAGGACTTTGGTTAAAATAGTAGTATACCCTGAAAAACAGAGTGGTAAAATCACCCAAAATACAGGTCAATGAAGTATTCCTTCCAGAGACATTTCAGCTCAGGCATCTCTCTTACTGAAGCTTGCTATCACTCATCTCTGCTCCTACAGGCAGAAATCTTTTAACCATTTTTTTCCAAACAGAACTTAATAAGTTAACACTTAATTTAGTACATGCTAAGTAAGTCCATTCTCAGTTGCTCATAACCCTGTTCTGCATCATACTCAACATCATCACAAGGTAAAGCTACAATAGCATGACTGGAAACTATTTGTCAGACAAGGTGCCATGAAACATAAGACCCGGCAGAATTTGTTGTGAGAGTTGCTGGGCTACTTACATCACTCAGCTGCTTGGAATTAGTCTGTGCTTGGACCAAAACAGGTGAGTCTGCCACTTGTGTAAATTTGATCTTATCAGGATGCTTTTTGTAGGTATACTAGAAGGAGGAGGAGGAGAGTGGGAGGTTATTAAATTTCTATTAGCATCAGTACTATGATAGTCCTATATTTCAGTTTTAACTTAAGGTATACTACAGGGAGAAGAAAACAAAAATGTACGCACAATTGCAATTAATTTCCAGGAGCGTCAGTTTTATGGCTCTGTATTTCAGTGCCAGACTTAATAAAAGGTTTATTAAAGCAAGTTCAAATATAGCAGAATGACTTATCAACTGATTTGCCAAAGATTAACTGATTAAGCTAACACTGCCATTTACAGGTTTTAAAAGCCTACATACTCTCAAAAGTATGAAATGTCCAAGAGGTCCCAGATCTATAGCTAGGGGGACAGCAACTGTCCTGGTCAATTATAATGAGAAGCGTGGATGCGACTGCAATTATACCACCCTTGTTATCCATAGGTAGAGTGGTGTCAGGCATTACTTGCACTGCTAAGGATGCAAGAGTGACTGAAACATATAGGTCTTCTTGAGATACTAAGCATGCAGGCAAAACACATTCTGGCTATTGCATGACACAAGAAAGTACATACATTGACACTTTCAGGGATGGGAAAGAAATTATTTCAGGTCATATTTTCATGCAAACATACCTAAGTTTGCCCTTTCAAACCACTATGCAAACTGAAACATGGTTACGCTTCAAAATTTTCTTAATTTTGAAATGGAGTTCTCTCATCAAAAACTTCATAAAAATGTGTACATATATTTAAGAAAGTATGCATTATATTAGGACAATTTGCAAAAATGTGTATATCAGGAAAACTGCATATAATAATATGTCTATTAAAAGAGCTGGGTACCAAATGCTTATTAATTTTAATGAAAAGTTTTAAAAAATAATGTTTGGGTGAACAGAACATAAAATATGTAAAACTGAAAAGTAAGGTAAACCAAAGTGATTCATCCACCCCTACATTCAGCTTTGGGTGAATGATACCAGAGACAGCAAACTACACCTGATATGAAAATGAGAGGGAAGAAGGCTCAGCTGCCTTTTTATAAATGGCAGATTTGAAGGGCTGCATGGGCTGTGGGGTAATGAGGGAAATGGAAAGTTCCATTCACATGTTGGATGGAGCTTGCAGTTTATACTTGGTGAAGCATGTACAGTGGTACCTTGGCTCATGAACTTAATCTGTTCCAGGACTCTGGTCGTGACCCAAAATGGTTGTGAGCAAAGTTAAATTTCCCCATAAAGTCCAATGTAAATAAGGTTAATTCGTTCTGTAACTATTTTTTTTACTCAGAAAAATGTGAAGTAAAGTGACAAAGAGCAACAAAGATTGCGGCCATCTCCCCACCCCCCAGCACAACCGCGATCGCGCCCATCATCCCTGCATGAGCCCATCATCCTGATGTGCTGAGGGAGGAGAGAGGAGCATGAACACGGGTGTGCTGGGGGGGAGAGACAGGCGTGAATGTGGGCACACGGGGGGGGGGGGGAGACAGGCACGATCGTGCTGGGGGGGAGATGGCCAAGATTGCGATTGCGCTCCTGCAGGAAAAAGGCGAGCAATCATGGGTGCACTCATGCAGGAAGGACAGGCATGATCTCGGCCATCTCCTCCCCCCCTCCGTCCCCAGCACGATCGCGGCCATCTCCCCACTTGCGGGGGAGGTGGGGAGACTGCTGCGATCATGGTCGCCATCCAATGTGGAGTTCGCAACCTGAGTTAAAATGTTTCTCAATTTTTGGTTTGCAACTTGATTTGGTCATGAACTGAAGCGTTCGTGAGCCGAGGTACCACTGTACTAACATCCATCCATATCTGCTAATATTTGCATTACCTGCTTCTTGCAGGCTTAGCTTTACAAAATGTTGTTATGGTTTTTGTTGTATTTAAAAGCTTAGTATCTGCATTCTTCATTGCACCATAATTATAAATTGTAAAATATAATCTATATATATATATATGAAAATTTTTAACATAATCAACTGTAGCATAAAAACAAAACAGGAGCAATATGTACAAAGAAACAATCAGAGAATACAAAAGGAGCTTCAGGTATTAACCAGCCAAAGACCTGCAAAAATTTAAAAAAGGTGCTCAGCCAGAACAAAAAGTCATCCAGGCAGATTAGGGGAGGTTGTTTCAGAGCTTAGGCCCAAAAATAGAAAAGAGGTGGTCATGTATGTCACAGGTCACACAAAAGGGCCTTTATATCTACTATTCTTGGGAAAAGATGTGACAATTGTTTTAGAAAGCCCTTGGACACTTTCTGATAACTCCTATGAAGTCATCAACCACAAAGCATAAGATAGAAAGAAAATCACACAGCAGTGACGACTTACATCTTTGCACTGGTCTAGTTTCTTTATGGCTTCATACTCCTGAGTAATGGTCTGTGGGAAGTAGCATCTTGCCTTTTCATCTTCATAGTCTGCTTTGTAGTTTTTCTAGGAAAACAACAAGGGACCAATCATAACCAGGAGCATATCTGAAGAAGGGAGGCTAGAAGAGGAAATGCAGTGCACACTCACATCGCTCTTCAGGGCTTCAATTTTCATGCAGTGTTCTCGATATGGGTCCTCATAACTGCCTATGTACCGGCCCAGGACATTCTGATATCCCTCTTTGTATTTAACCTATGGAAGAACACCGCCATACATTAGAACAAACGCCGCAGGGTGGCAAACGCTTTGCTGGCCCTTAATAACGGAACCACAGCTACAGCACTTACTTCACTGAAGTTCTTCAGAAGGTTGTCCAGCTGATATTTCGGAGTCTCGCAGTAGTTGATGCTTTTTCCTTTGGACTTTTCATATGCTTCCTTATATAACAGCTGCCAAGGGGAAAAAATGGTCAAAGCCATAATACAAAAGGGTCATGGCAAATAGCCTCAGTCCCTGCAGGTATTATTCTGCCATTCGGTTAGCAAACTTATGCTGCCTACAAGTGCTAAAAAGAAAACATTAAACTCTACTGAAAAGTCTGGATTCAAATGTAATGTTTTTCTTCAGTTCAAATGGAAACATAAGAAGAGCGCTACTGGGTCAGCCCAAAACGCTATAGAACTGGAGGTTCACCAAAGGCCAACATGGATCTGTAGAGTAGCTGCAAAGTGTCTCTCATTTTTAACGGAAAGGAGGGTTAAACCAGTACTGCATATGATGAACAGACGATGTTCAATATAATTAGTTAGCTCAATATAATTTATACTGGCAATTATTCTTGCTCTAGTTTAAGAATTCTGGGATGCAGTGTGATAAGTGATATCCAAGGGCACAATCCATTGTGCCTTGTCTTTGATGCATCCAATGCATGAAGCCAGGTTTAGCAGCAGTGAACTTTGCTGTTGGCCTGCACAACACATTTCATCTCGGATGAAGTGGTGCAAAAGGGGAGAAAGAAGGCTAGTGTGCTGTTGAATACAGTGTGCACAAGTTGTACCCTGCTTCTGCCCATTCCTATTGCATGCCCCCTTTCCTTCTCAGGAACAATACGTATGTAAATCTAGAGTGTGCTGGTGTGCTTTCCTCCATGCTAGCCATCAGGCAGGTGGGGCTGGGTCTTGGCCTTAAAAGTCTCAGCACTATCAGTTGGATGTTGGATTGCAAAACAGTCTGTGCCCTCCTCAGATGAAGTGGGGAGGCCACATGATTTTTCCCTTAATAACTGAACCATCACAAAGAATTTAGCACCTTGCCAGTAGAGTAGGAACACTGGCCACTGATGACTTCGGGAGTACTTACATCGCTCTGCTGACGGGTCGCTTTCCGAGAAAGCATCATTTTGGGATCGTCCTCAATACTCAAAGCTCCAATTAGCTTCCCTTTGCTCTGCTCATATCCTTTCTTATACTCCACCTAGATGCAGACAGATCATTAGTGTCCAGCTGCATTTTGTTACCTCTGTGGCAAAACCTAAAACCATCAGAGAGCTGCCTTCATGTTTGTGCAGCACTTACATCGCTTGCAATTTTCTGCTTTGCTTTGGCAGCAATAATCGGAATGGCATCCACCTTGATGTCAAATTTCTTAGCTTTCGATTGCTCCCAGTCATACTTATACCAGTTCTGAGAGAGAGGAAAGAAACAGCTATCATGAGAAAAGGGCAACATAAAAAAGCAGTCCGGTTCCGTACGACAGGGGATATCTGACAGTACAACAACCAGCGCATAGGCTGTCGTAAGGAACTCATACTTGTTGGGATTATTGGGGTGGATCCAGACCTGCAGTGGAGTGCAGGGCAGAAATGGAAGACAACTCCGCCTGGATCCCCCACAGAATTCTGTGCAACGGTTGCACCACAACAGGGTTTGCTGGAAGCAGTTGTGATTTGCTAGCCCAGAAAGCGCGAGAGATAATATAAAGCTCCTACTTACATCACTGGCATTGTAGGCATTGACCCTGGACTGGAGGAATAAGGGGGCATCCGGAGGTATGGAACACCTGAATTTCTCAGCCTCGTGTTTGGCTTTGTAGTTCAGCTGAAACGCAGATGGAAAAGGAAGAAGGCTGACATCAAACGTGATTGTTTGAATGACTTCTGTTAATGAACCACAGGCTGCTAATATCGGGACTGAATAAGAGGAAAGATGTAAGAACAAGCCTTTCAGAGCAAATTCTGTATGTATGTTTTTTCAGGCAGGGTCAAGAACCATGCGCCCACTGATACCTGCAGAATGGATCATGTCATCAGGGGCCTCCAGCACATTGCCTAACTGCTCTGCCATACCCACAAGGCCAGGCTGTGGCATCTGTCAGGCTACTGCAGCCTCTGCAACCAAGTGGAGAGATTCCCCCAAGAAGTGATTCACTTGTATAGGAGGGATGAATGTCCCCCTTGCCAAAAAATGGCTGGACCTGGCAGGAAAGTGTATCCTTCTGCAAGAGCCCTTCTATGAACAGAAGGCTTATCTGAGGTGGCTTCATCCCCACCTCCAGGTGCTATTTAGGAAGGGGGCTTTTCCTCTTTATAGATAAACCAGTGGAACAGTTCTCCATTAACTTTACATTTCTGGTTAAGAGCCCCTCCCTGCTGGAAATTGCTTCAGCCCTCTTCTGGTTCACCATTCCTCATTTAAAATAATAAATTAATGGTCCCATTCAGTTGTATTGGTATGGGGGAAGAGAGTGAGAAGGACAGGCGAGAGACAGAAGGGGAAGGCAGGAAGGAAGGCAGGAAGGGGGAGAAAAGCAGAGCCATGGAAAGAGAGAGAAGGCAAGTGTGAAGAGAGAGAGAGAGAGAAACCGAAGAGGTGCACCACCAGAGTACATGGCCATGCATGCACACGCACCAACACGGTGGACAGTATCAACTCCTTTGCAGCCGCAAAATACTGCTGCTGAATATCAGCCATGGCAAAATACTGAATGTGCCTACATGCCCAAAAATGTCCCATTCCCCTGCTTGCTACATATGAGGATGGAAGGCTTTTTACTTCCAGTGTACAAAAATGAGATGACCATTCGCTAGCTTTCCTGTCATACAACCTCTCCAGTAATGAAACACAAGAGCTTCCAAAAAGCTTTTCATTTGCAAATAGGCACTACAGATTATTTTAATGCCAATTATCTGCACTTTCCAACTGACAGAGTCTACAAAGACATGCATGCATATGTCCCTTGGAAGGCTCTTGCCAGGTTGCACTAGGTGTAATAATCCACATTTTCTCAGTAAGGTGCATTTTTCCAAAGCTCATTAAATGTATGATATGGAATTAATATTGTTGACAAATGGATTTTTAAAATATTTATGGCATTCATGCTTTGTTACTGTTTCTATTGGAACTGTTGTATATTACCTTCCTGACATTTATGAAAAGGTGACATGTAAATGAGATAAATTTATAACACATGTAAAGATATTGTATTATAAAAACATAAATTTATATAAACATATTTTAAATATGATCTATGGTAAAAAATGCAGAAAGTAGAATTTCCTCTTCAGTTAATCACATCATTCTCCACCATAATTGCATGGTCACATAAAGGGACTTCAGATTAGAAAAATAAACCTCCCAGGGAATTCGGAAACTTGAAGCATCTCTTATTAGAAACTAACTAAACAGTTTATTCTTCTTTCTATGTGCATCAATGTACTGAAAAGTGTGTTTGTGTTGTTTTGTTTTTGTTTTTTTTCCCTTTCCCAGTCAAACAACTCTTGAGCATGCACCGAGTTGTTCTTTGCCCCGTTAGGAGTCATACTCAGCATGGTCACAGGGCAAAGACTAGAAACTGTTTGTCAGACTTGGAAGCACAAAACAGAAGAGTAAGACTAGGTGGGATTTTGTTGTCTGAGTTACTTACATCACTCAGCTGCTTGGAATTAATCTGTGCTTGGACCAAAACAGGCGAATCTGGCACTTGTGTAAATTTGATTTTATCGGGATGCTTTTTGTAGGCATGCTAGGAATAGAAGAACACAAAAACACACTGAATGACATTTCATTTCCAGTGGCACCAGTGTTATGGTCCCAGATATCAATACAGGCCTAAGTAAAAAGTTTAATAAACTGAATTCCAATATAGCAGTATGATTAATTGACTGATACAGCAAAAGGTTAACTGGTTAAGTTGACATTGCATTTAGACAAATCCGGAAAGCTCATGCACTATCAAAGGTATGAAACTTCAAAGAGGTTCCTGATGTTCATCTTGGTAAATTTTATCTGAAAACATGATAATGTAGCCATACCACATTTATCACACACCCGTACTAAGAATAAAGGCAGTGACTTGCACTGATATTTATAGATTTGTGACATTCCATACGTTGGCAAAACAAATTCTGGCCACTAGGTGTCAGAAGAATCCTGGCAAAAACATGTGAAGAGATCACCTTTCAGAATGCTGCTATCTGTTAGTGTAAACACCACCTGCCATGAAAATGAGAGGAGGAAGGCCCAAAAGTTTTCTTTTAACGAAGCACTGCCTCTGGAGCTTGCAAAGAGGGTCAGGATGCAAAAAGAAAAGTTTCAGCAGTTCTACCTGCTTAGTGCTTTCCATCTCTTTATAAAAACAAATGGCCAAGGCTTCATTGCAAACATTGGTGATTAAGCTGTGATTTGCCCCTCGTTCAAAATTCAACTGATAGCATTTCAAGAGAGTGAGTGGGTATAATCAACTATATCTATAACTATATTTAAATCCTTGTTCATCTCTATATCCTACAAATGGTGATGATAGAGTGATACACAAAAGGAATCAATAAAAAGCACAAAAGAAACCTCAGGCAGTGACCAGTACAAGGGCTTGAAAAACTTCCCTTTAAAGGATTCAGTGAGCTCAAAAAGCCACTCGGGCAGGAGGAAGATGGGCACTGTTATGGCGGGCTGTTTCTGGGTTTGGGCCTAAGAACAGAAAAGAGGTGCTCATGTATGCCAACAGCAATCCACGCATCCTTGGAGCCCTTGGACTCTTTCCAATAACTCCTATGAAGTTATCGATGAAGCATAAGACATACAAAACGGCACAGCAGTGACGACTTACATCTTTGCACTGGTCTAGTTTCTTCATGACTTCATACTCCTGAGTTATGGTCTGTGGGAAGTAGCATCTTGCCTTTTCATCTTCATAGTCTGCTTTGTAGTTTTTCTAGAAAAACAAGGGACCAGTCACAATCACGAGCATATCTGAAGAAGGGAGGCTAGAAGAGGAAATGCAGTGCACACTTACATCACTCTTTATAGATTCCACTTTCATGCAGTGTTCGAGATATGGGTCTTCAGGGCAGCCTATGTACCGGCCCATGATATTCTGAGATCCCTCTTTATATTTAATCTATGGAAGAACACCAACATATGTTAGAACAAACACAGCAGGGTAGCAAACTCTTTGCTGGCCCTTAATAACAGAATCACGGCTACGGCACTTACATCGCTGAAGTTCTTCAGAACGTTGTCGATCTGGTATTTTGGAGTCTCGCAGTAGTTGATGCTTTTTCCTTTGGACTTTTCATATGCTTCCTTATATAACAGCTGCCAAGGGGGAAAGAATGGTCAAAGCCATAATATAAAAGGGTCATGGCAAATAGCCTCAGTCCCTGCAGGTATTATTTTGCCAGCCACTTAGCAAGTTTGTGCTGCCTACGAGTGCTAAAAAGAAAACATTAAACTCTACTGAAAAGTCTGGATTCAAATGTAATTTTTTTTCTCCACTTCAGATGGAAACATAAGAGCAGCCCTCCTGGGTCACAATCAGTGATGTAGTGGCCCAGCAACCTTTTCGTAACAGTGACTATCTAGATCTTTGAGAGATGCATGATCAGATCACAAAGTATTCCCCTTCTATACTACCGAGCAGCTAACATTGAGACAGATACAACCTGTGATCACTGATGTTCCATACAGCTAATTATGGAATTATGATGTAACAGATGTCCATCAACTTGTCCCTTTTCAGTCCCATCAAAACCAGTCCTACAAACACAGGATCTGGGACTGATACATTGTGTGATATGCCTGTATTGTATCACATTTACTACATATTAATTTAAGATACAGAACTGGAGGTTCAACAAAGTGTGACTTGTATCTCTTTTGGAACCGTTGTTAACATGTTTTATTGGCAAGGAGAGTTGAAGCAGTATTGCTTGCAATAGACAGATATTTTAAGGTAGTTCAACAGATTTCATTCTATTTATATTTTTAAGGTTTCTGGGATGCAGGAAGGTAAAAGGTCTCTGAATCTGTGAACCGTCACAAAAAAATTAGCACCCTGCCAGTAGAGCAGGAACACTGGCCACTGACGACTTCGGGAGTACTTACATCGCTCTGCTGTTGGGTCACTTTCCGAGAAAGCAGCATTTTGGGATCGTCCTCAATACTCAAAGCTCCAATTAGCTTCCCTTTGCTCTGCTCATATCCTTTCTTATACTCCACCTAGATGCAGACAGATCATTAGCGTCCAGCTGCATTTTGTTACTTCTGTGGCAAAACCTAAAACCATCAGAGAGCTGCCTTCATGTTTGTGCAACACTTACATCGCTTGCAATTTTCTGCTTTGCTTTGGCAGCAATAATCGGAATGGCATCCAACTTGATGTCAAATTTCTTAGCTTTCGATTGCTCCCAGTCATACTTATACCAGTTCTGAGAGAGAGGAAAGAAACAGCTATCATGAGAAAAGGGCAACATAAAAAAGCAGTCCGGTTCCGTACGACAGGGGATATCTGACAGTACAACAACCAGCGCATAGGCTGTCGTAAGGAACTCATACTTGTTGGGATTATTGGGGTGGATCCAGACCTGCAGTGGAGTGCAGGGCAGAAATGGAAGACAACTCCGCCTGGATCCCCCACAGAATTCTGTGCAACGGTTGCACCACAACAGGGTTTGCTGGAAGCAGTTGTGATTTGCCAGCCCAGAAAGCGCGAGAGATAATATAAAGCTCCTACTTACATCACTGGCATTGTAGGCATTGACCCTGGACTGGAGGAATAAGGGGGCATCCGGAGGTATGGAACACCTGAATTTCTCAGCCTCGTGTTTGGCTTTGTAGTTCAGCTGAAACGCAGATGGAAAAGGAAGAAGGCTGACATCAAACGTGATTGTTTGAATGACTTCTGTTAATGAACGACAGGCTGCTAATATCGGGACTGAATAAGAGGAAAGATGTAAGAACAAGGCTCTTAGACATTCTCTGTGAATGTTTTTTCAGTGGGAACCATGACCCACTGATATCCACAAAATGGATCACTTTACACTAGGTGTTTGGAACTTTTTTCACCCCAATCCCTGAACTCCATTTTGGAGACGCTCTCAATAGATGCATTCCAGCAGTAGCTTGGGTTAGAAGCAAAAGGGTTGGTTTCAAAAAAAGCGAACTAAATACGTTCATACTTTTGCTGAAGAGCACATTTCTATTTGTTTAGATGTTTAGAAAATGTAGAGTTCTCAGCTTTCCCCTACCAGTTGTTCTCATGCCCATGTGTGAGCTGTTCTTTGCCCTGTTCTGTATCATACTCAACATCATCACAAATAGAAGCTACAACATCATGACTGGAAACATTGTCAGACATGGTGCCATGAACAAGACCTGGCAGAGTTTGTTGAGGGAGTTGCTGGGCTACTTACATCACTCAGCTGCTTGGAATTAATCTGAGCTTGGACCAAAACAGGCGAGTCTGGCACTTGTGTAAATTTGATCTTATCAGGATGCTTTTTGTAGGCATGCTAGAAGGACGATAAAAGACAGGAGAAATGGAATTTGATTTCTGGTAGCATCCTATAATGGTGGTCCTATATTTCAGCTTTAGATTATGCAAACAGTTCATTGTACTATATTTAAATATAGCACTATGGTTGACCAAGCAAATGTTTAGCAGGTTAACCTAAAATGCAGCATTGTCTTCTGCAGATCTTAAAGCCCAAAGCCTATAAAGATACAAGCAGCATTTGATGTTCAGGAGAGATGTCAAATATCCTGATGAATTATTGCTGAAAAGCATGGATAGTTATGCCACCATGCAGCACTTTCATACAGTTGCAATAATGTGGCCCAAGCCAATTACTGGAGTCTCTAGACCATAAAGAATAACTACCAAAGTTATTCATTTAAAAAAAAAATGATTCTATTAGCGGTAGGTTTCTAGGTTTGCAACCATTCATAAAAACAAGAAGCACAAACACAATACAAACATCATATTTATCCAATATGCTCAGTTTAAAGCATATTTAATAACTCAAATCAACTTTAGTATGAATGGGATGGTGTTAAAAACACCTGATCCAAATGCCTGATCATGCCACAGTCTTAACCTGGTGAAGAAATGATGACAGCATTAGTGCCAGGCAGGCCTTGGTGGGGAGAGCATTCTACAAAGGGTAGGGCACCCAGATAAGACCCTCATTGCCATCCTCTGAGCCTCCCTTGGAGGTAGAACTCAGGGGATGTATGACGCATCTGCAGCTCTCAGAAAGCTATAATCCCAGCTTAACTTAATTATCTGACACCATATTCTAAGTTTTCACTTACTACATATAGTTGGCATGCACCATATGTGGTCTAGGCTATTGTTTCCACAGATATGGCAAAAGAGGTTGAATTGCACTGGTATGTAAGGTTTTATTTGAGAAATTCTGCATATAGGCCGAGTACTTTCTGACCACTAGAGGTCCCAAGAATCCTGTAAAATTTACATGAAGATGTTAACACTCTTCATGATGAGACCCGACAGGGGAAAACTACATATTACATGTAAGCCAGTAGAGGAAACTTCGGCAGCTTTATTTTTATGAAAACCACTTCTGCAAGTGGTTGTGGGCAGAGGAGTAGCAGCAGGCAGGCCGGTGGAACAACAGATTTTCTCCACTGGGAAACCCTTCACTTTCTTCACTTGCAAAATCAGCCCCCTCCTCATGCCATTTGTCCACTCAAAACTGCAGCCTCCTAAGGCTGCTTTTCATTAAAAAAAGATCATCAGGGTTCTACTACATGCATTTGTAAGTAATGTGTAACGTGTGCCTGACTCAAAACAGATACTCAGACACGTTATTAGATAGCAGAATAAATATTTCAACAGAAGGTAGATTGGAGAACATTTATTTTCTGTTCTGTGAATTATTAAAGTCCATGATCGATGTAGTTAATTAGGATTTGGTCTTAGATGGCTTTTTGCTTTCATGCGTGATAGCATGATATTCTTACTATTTGACTATGTGCATTTTACTGTTTGAGCATGGCATTGCTTTATGGGTTTCTTTCCTTTAACTCTTTGAAGTTCTGCACCACAGAGCTTCATATAAGATAAGGATGAGTTTCCACTGCAACAGCTACTTACATCTTTGCACTGGTCTAGTTTCTTCATGACTTCATACTCCTGAGTTATGGTCTGTGGGAAGTAGCAATTTGCCTTTTCATCTTCATAGTCTGCTTTGTAGTTTTTCTAGAAAAACAACAAGGGACCAGTCACAATCACGAGCATATCTGAAGAAGGGAGGCTAGAAGAGGAAATGCAGTCCTTGCTTACGTCGCTCTTTATAGATTCCACTTTCATGCAGTGTTCGAGATATGGGTCCTCAGGGCTGCCTATGTACCGGCCCAGGACATTCTGATATCCCTCTTTATATTTAACCTATGGAAGAACACCAACATATGTTAGAACAAACGCAGCAGGGTGGCAAACGCTTTGCTGGCCCTTAATAATGGAACCACAGCTACAGCACTTACATCACTGAAGTTTTTCAGAACGTTGTCGATCTGATATTTTGGAGTCTCGCAGTAGTTGATGCTTTTTCCTTTGGCCTTTTCATACGCTTCCTTATATAATCTCTGTAAAAGAGAAATGTAAAAGCCCATAATATAAAAGGACCATGGCAAATTTTCTCAGTTCTTCCACTCTTCGTGAGGCCACCAGATTAACAAGCTTGTGCTGCCTGCAAATGTGGACAGCAGATATTTGGATGCAAATCGATATTTTTGTTATACCAAGCAAGATGAAAATATAAGTAAAACACTGCTGGCTCATACCACTGGACCCTCTGGACTGGCATCCTGTTTCCAGCAGTGCCTTGCCAGATGTCTCTCTAAAGGCCCACGTCAGGCAGTGAAGGCAAATGGTTCTCCACATGGTTTGCTAAGGAGCATTTAGAGGAATGCTGATATTTAATCGGCATTCCGGGCTGCTCCTCCCACCCTGAAGGGTCTTTTTCTCTATCAAAGCTAAATAGATTTATTTCCTGGGCTTTTTAAAACCCGCCAGTGCCGCTAAAGGGTTGCTGGGAGGAACACACCCAAGTCACTGGTCAGTAACACATATTTTGGTTACGAGTTTCATAATTGTGCACAATTTCCCTGTCGCCAATGTCTAAGTGTGCTCAGAACCCATTCCAGTTTTTTTGCGGACTTGGACAAGTTTTATAAGGATATTTATAATATTTAGCTCCATGTAGGGTGGAAAAGCGTAAATTATTTAATAATTTTCATGCCTTTTTATCCCACTTTACAACCATAGATTCTCAATTAAAAACAAGAGCCCATTTATCAAGTGCAGTTCTCTCATAAAATCAAAGTTAACACAGTGCAGATTAGAAACAGGTATTAAGAGCAACTAACCAAAGCAGTAGGGGGTGGGAAATGGCCTGTATTACAACCTGCTATTATTAGAGTATCATAGGCCTTCTTGAATAGGAATGCCTTGCAACCAGGGACCCCTGGCAGGGCCCAATAGCCTGGCAGGACCCACTGACAGTGATGTGCCCCTGGAAACAGCACCCAACCTGTCCCTGGAGAAATGCAGCATACATACATCATTCACAAGATTTCCAGCAGCTTTTAAGTGCCTCAGCAGAGGGTTCTCTGTAGCTGGAAGCACATTGTAGTCTGCAGCAGCTTTGGATTTTTCATAATCTTCTTTGTATTTCACCTTGAAAAATTAAGAAAAAAACAGGATCATTTCCCCAAGCTTGTTAGTTATTTGAGTGTCTGCTGTTATACTGTCCTTGGCTTGTGTTTGGACATCAGTACTACTGATCCCTGGACTGCTGCCTGACTTGGAATTTGGGCTCTGCTTCTCCTTGATGGATCTCTTGAAGTACAATCTTGATTGTACCTCAGACCTCTCTCTGGAAAAGTCTGATACATTTTGCTTGACCATTTGTTTGTTAAATTAATTTCCTCGCCCCCTCCTTTTGTTTGCCCAGCAAAGGGCCATAGCCAGTTAAAGCAGTACAAAGGCAGGCGTGTCTTCATAAAAGTGTGTCTTCTCCTGTCTGCTGACCTGTCCTAGTTTTGTAATGTGTCTGTCTAGTTTCAGGAAGCACTGGTTTTTGTTGCTCCAGCAGCTGATATCTTGGGCACACAGACTGACTGGAGACACTGCAGCAGTACTGGATATTGCCCAATGTCTCTTTCCTCATAGTCCCTCCTATGCACCCTGAAAAGCTGTTCTGGATCCTTGGAGATCCCTCCAGAAGACATGGGAGATGGAGAGGGGGATGCAGAGGGCACCAGCAAAAGAAAACCTTCTCCCACTTCTTCCAGCCAGAGCCTTTGCTGGGTCAAAGTGACTTCCCACAACAGAAGGTGCCATTCTGTTTCTAGAAGTGCATGCTTCGATTCAATCCAAGCACACTGGCATTGCTGTAAGCCTCCCAGTGTATCAAAGCCTCCCTTAATGGAGCTCAGCATCCGCACCACCTCAACCATAGGGACAGGTTAAGCAACCACCTGGACTGGCATCCTGGAGCCGGCTGTAGCAAAGGGAGATCATTAACCTGGTCTCATGCCTCTCTCCCCATGCTAACAGTGAAAGTATTCCAGAATATCCTGGGATACAGTCTTACTTTATGTAAGAATCCCTTCAACCCTCTTTATGTAGGCCTGTAAAAGATCTCAGACCAGCCCTATGAAAAATGGATGGAATGTTTATTTACTTATGGGATGGAAGTAACAGAAGAGATTTCGTACAACACAGATCAGGCAGTTGCTCCTGTTTCCCAAAGTGTGCCCAGTCCAAATAAACAACCAGAATTTGCAACATACCTTACTGGCAGCAACTCCAGCTCGCTTATTAACAGCATATTCTGGTGTTTCTGTTTGCATAAAGTAGATTTGGTCTTTCTGATTCTCCCATTCTTCCTGGTATTTTCTCTGTGAGCGGCCAAAAAATATAGATTTAGTCAGCTAAGTAAAACATGCATCTAAATAGAGACTGAAGTAGAGAAGAAAGTGGCCTATAGAAAGCAAGAAAAAAAATAAAACTCAAAGGGCAAAACTGGTATTAATCTGCTGAGGTCTGAAATAATTTATTACCGTGTTCAAGTTGTCAGAATTCATCCTGGCAATTGCAACATCATAGCATGGGGTTTGACTCCATTGGCCCTTCTTCTTGTTATAGTCTTCGTGATAGTTATGCTGTAAGAGAAACAAGTATTAAACTCCTCAATAACCACATGCAACTTTCTTCAACTTGATTCCCAATAGATGTTTTGGCAATCAACTCCCATAATCCCCATAACTATCACGCTGGCTGATGAGGGGAGTAGTCCAGAGGACACCAAATAGAAAAGGCTCAACTAGACGTAATTTCCTATTCCTGGATTTCAGTTTTCAGTCTCTCACCTTTAATTTCTTTGAATGTGGAAAGCTTGTATGGGAGAGGAAAGCAACTTTAAAACAGTTCTTACAGTCTATAAACTCCGCATGGTAGATCCCCCATTTTTGGTCTTGGAAAGCAAGCACAATAAATATTTATTATTTTCCCTTATAGGTAAAAAAAAGTATTCCAGAACAAACGTAATTTGAGACAAGGTAATTTGAATGAAGGTCACTAATTCTATCTGTAGACATGTTGATGGATAGGGTTACTCAATTATCTTTTTCCTTCCATCCCACCACAAAAGGCCTTGGCTCCGAAACAGCACTATTAATTTGTCTGTGTCTGTCTTTATCTGTCATCCTTTTCTTCTTTGTTCAGCAGCTGCCTGTCCCTAAACTAAATGGTAAATTGGAGAATCTAGAAAAGCCAGTAGAGAACACCACTTAAGATATCCCAGTAATGAAAGGAACACTGATAAATGAGCAATTGATTACTACTGTAAATGGGAAGGTCAGATTTCATTCCTGTTTTGTTCTGTTTTAATCGGTATCAGCTTTTTTTCCAAGTAAATTTACTGGCTATTGACAACAAATTGCACTGCCACATTAATTCCATTCCTCTTCTTCCCAGCTTTGCTACTAGATTACTCTAATTATATCTAAATATTAACTTTATTGGTCATGCTTCATGGTTGTAGAAGTCATCAGTTGTGCCATTAATTCAATGCATGAAATCAGATACAGACATTCTCTCCCTTGTTACTTACACTGGGCCTGTGAAGCATGGTTTTATATGACTATGGAAAAGAAAATCTAAATATAGAAAGGAGGATTTATCCCATGTTTAGCTCAACTACTTTTCAGGTTTCCTCAGAAAAGTTTCTATAAATGAATTACCATTGCTCACCAAATGAAAAACATATCAATAGGAAGTGAAGGAAACATTTACTATGACCAGTTTATGACGCACAAAGCAGAGCTTTCTCCCAAATAAATAAATCTTAGCTTATGAACTCTCAGATACAACTGAGTAATAAATTGATTGATTAAACCTGTGTAAGTCTACAGACTTTGAAGAAAACTTATATTTTGCTTTCCAAAGTATTTACATACATTTTGCAGTAGGTATCCAGCTTGGAAAAGGTTTTTCCCTCTGTGTGTGAGAAGTAGGGGACTACCTCTTCAAAGTTTGGTAATTTATTGTAGGAAAAACAATGATGAAATTATTTAAAATATGCTCAACTCAGTTAATTCTGGGCACCTTTTAAATGAATCAGTTGTTCACTTTTCATTTAATCTAACTAATAATACACTAAATATGGAAGCCCTAATGGCAAATGTCAGGAAAAATTATGGATGAGAATCAACCCTAAAGAAAATAACTGAAAAGTATGTGCACCTCTTAGGAATTCTAATCAATAACTCGGGGTAAGTCAGGACGGGGCCTTTCCAAAAGTCAAGGTGAGCTTCTTGGCTCAGACAGAGCACTGGGAGAGACAGCAAAGTGCATCACTCATCCAAACTCCCTCACCACTGCCTTCCAAACTGGGGCTTGTGGTCCACGGGTCCAGCCACCACTATCTCACCTCACCACTGGCAGCCAGCTACCTGTCCAAGAGTAAAAAACGGGATCCGTCTTTCTGCTTGCTATGAGCAGCCACTTAGGAGGACCACCATTTCACTGCCACAGCACCAAAACCTGTTGACCTTGAAAACACTGCACAACACGTGCCACTGTAGCAAAGCAGCCAGCAGCACTGCTGCAGGGTTCCCTGGGGCCACCTTGCCCTGTGGCCAAATGCCCACTCCAAGGAAGAGCCCTGTGGAAATGCACAGTCCTTTCTTAGAGCGCAGTGTTGTGGGGCAGGATGTCACCCTGTAGCCTGGACGCACTCTGGGAGGCTTCCAATAGAGGGAGTATTGCACAACAGGCATGCACTTGGATCAGCCACAAGGCCAGCACGATGCCTTTTGCTTCCTTCCACCTGGGACAAGATGGTGCTCCTTCCCATTCTGAATACAAAAGTGGACTGGCCAGCAGCTGAACCTTCCTACAGTGCTGGCGATGGCAACAGGCTGGCTCAGAGGGCACAGAGAAGACCACTGTGGCAAACGCTGCTGTCTCCTCCAACAGCTCACTGCTGCCTCCACGATCTGCTGCCTGAAGCGGCTGCCTCGCTTTACCTGACGGTAGGGCTGGCTCTGGTCAGCCAGCTAGCCTAATCTGATCAAAAGAGTTGGAGAGCCCAGAGGTTTTAAGTGACTGCTATGAAACTGTAATAGCAAACAAACTGTGCTTTGAAGCTTCAAAGGATGAAAGGAAAGGTGGGTGCAGAGCAATGTGCCAGAAGAGACCCAGCAGGGAGCAAGATCATCACCATGGTCGAAGTCTGTTTGATGAGCAGAGGTTCTCCTTGGAGGGCTCTCTCTATTTTCCCCAGCTTCTACATATTAGAAAGACACTTGGCGCACTCAGCTGCTCCCACTAGCTTAGCAGGGATGTTTACCCAAGAAGGGACACGGCGGCATACTCACAGCACTGAGCTGTCTGGTTACTTTCTTGGCGAGCTCCACATCAGGGGGGTCTGGCAGAGGAGTGTATTTAGCTTTGCGTTCATCATGCCCTTTTTTGTAGACAATCTGAAATAAAGGGAAGAGAGAGCAACTGACTGTTTAAAGAAGGAGCACATTTGCTCTTGCTTTCCATTAACACTGCCATTCAGAGGAGCGAGCTTGCACTGAAACAAAATAAATGGAAATAAATTATCATAGCTATTCTAGAATTTGGCACCATTAACCGAACAAGGATCATGAGGAGGCGATCATTTTATTTGCACACTTCAATGGAAAATTCTGAAAGGGGAGGAATTCTTGCCGTGCTCAAGGGTAGCAAACCTTTGCAACAGATAAAAAAGTTTCTACTCTGGAGTTTCTTAGCACACCAGCACATTCATTTCAATGGTTTTGGGTTTAGCGAATGACACTTTCAACAAAATAAAATAAAATGAAGAGTTGTTCAAAGGAGGAACCAGCCTCCTCAACATCCACCCTTCCCAAAAAAACCCTAATCCACACTGCTAGTTTCATGTCTCATATGTACGGCTGGGCATACACTGACATGTGATGGCATTTTCATCCTCCCTGACCTCCAAGGCATTCAGGGTGGCATACCTGGCTCGCCTGTGCTTTTTCCTCCTTGGAGCAGCCCTTTGAGATGGGCCAGACTGGAAGAGAATCACTAGTCCAAGCAAAGATCTAAATGTGGATCTCCCCAGTCCTAGCTCAACAATCCTAGTTCAAAAGTCCAACGACTAGGTTGCCTTATTTGAATACTGTGATATTTTGTGTGCAGAATAATTCAGTGTTTTGGGAGTTTCTGTTTTCACTAACAATGATATTCTAACACTTACTAATGCCAAGATGGGTTTGACATAGTGCTGGTGACAACAGGGGAAATCTCACGTACTTTGCATAGGGAGGGGGCAGAAAATGTGGGTCAGAAGGTACTGGGTATATTCACACATCATGCTAAGCCACCCTGTAAATTATCTACAGTGGGTCGGTTGTTTACTAACAGCCCACAGCATGCGCAACAGACAATCAGCCTTGCCATGGATTGTTCTCCCGCTTCTTCCCCCCGAGTCCTCCTGCTGGCTCCAGCATGTATCTCAGTGTCCGTTGCAGTGCCCATTTTGTCTTCCCTTTCCTGCTCCAACTGCTGCTTCTTTTCAGATGCAGCAAAGAAGGGGGTTTCTGGAGACCCAAAAAAGTGCCATCGAGATCGGTCTTTTTCTTTTCATTATCTTTATTACTGTCAACTTTTCACAAGTGCGAGAGTGAACTCTTGCGGCTTCCCAACACATGCAATCTTGCCAGGTTAATCTTGTCAACTTTCAGATTCCAAAGGGAAGTGCAGTAGGTGACAGACAAGGACACTGACAATGTTTTTGGTGCATTTACTGCTTTGGCTTTTCCTGTTCCATTGTCAGTGCTTTTGCCTTGTGCTACCAGTTCCCTCCTTTTCTACTCTTATTTCTTTCTTGGCTCTTCATTACTGTGGACAAATTAGCCAATAGGCAACTCTATCTTGCTGATATTCATACTGGAATGCTATAAATGTAGATTTGTGAAAGATCTATGAAAAGGTAATTTAAAGAGTACACAAACTGCAGATTTTTGAGGCACCAAAAATTAAAAAAAGAAAGAAAGAAATCCAGGGAACAAGTCAAAGTGATATTGCAGCAACAAGCAAAACAGTATTCCCTGGCAATGTAGCAAAAGTGAGATTCAGGGGTTTTGTTTGCTTTCTTGCTTGTTTGGCACCCATGCTAAGTGAGTCTGTGACCAATTATGGCAATCTGCAATAAATTCAGACTCATGAGTTAGGATGACAACAAGCCATAGGTTCTCTTCATGGCTTGTTCCCCAAAAATGGCCCACCCCATGGAAAATGTGCTGAGTACAGATCATACAACAGCCCATTGTTGCTGGCGGCCCATGGTAGCTTGTGGTCCCACGACACAACAAGCAAAGGTGCAAGTTGGTCTGTATTGTTGTGCTTTTTCAGTGTGGTACATTTGGTTGTCAGAAACCACGAACAGAATCAACTCTCTGTTCTATGGCTTCTTGGTACTACAATAGCTTGTGGCGGCATGCGGACCCAGAAAACACAGTGCGGGAGGAGTGAGAATCAGCTAGGCAGCGTGGCTGACTGGAAGCCGTGTGCCTCAGCAGATTTCTCCTCTGCCACCCAATGCCAATCTTGTCCCACTAGCCAGGTTGGAGCACCTCTCTGGCAAGAGTGGACAAGAAAGAGAAAGCACCGCCCCCCAATTGTCACAGCACCACCTCGCCCTTCATCTGCTTCCCCCTTCGTCCCCCTTCAGCACTCAGGATGGTATCCAGTGCTTCCCATGGGCCAGCAGGAGCCACCACCCATAGAATGGAGAACTAGCAGATGCTACAGCCAAAATGCAAGGGACAGGTCGGCAAAGTTTGCAGGAAAAGCTCAATTGACCTGTCCTGCTCAGGTCAGGAACGTTTCTGCTCATTTCCTGGATTGCTGTCAGAAGTTCTGCCTCCTGTTGCATTTGCACTGGGCCCCACTAGTGCAAGAGACAGAGCAGGAATACAGGAGCATTATCAGATGGTGCCCTGACAGAGATTGGCTTAAGATGGGAGGACATCTCATGAGGGAAGCCCCTGGTACTAGTGAAGGGCCTGATGGGCACACCTAAGCGTGGGTACTCAGATGCAAGCATCGCCGGCTTCTGTGGGCCTTCCTGCCTAGCACGTCCGCTTAGGAGTGCAGCCTGCGAGTGCCTGAGGAAAGGAGAATCATTATGAAGATGTCCACCTCAAGGGAAACAACGTACATCCTGCCGCCCACCAACAGAATCTGGTGCTCCCAAGTTCCCTTTGTCATGAAGACCTCAGGTCAAACATGGCACCTCTTTCCCAATGGCATGGGGAACAGCAGGCAACCAGTTGCCTCGCTACTTACATCGCTGAGGGACTTCTGGGCTTTTGCCACTCTCCGTAGCTCTGGGCTGTCGTCATAAGGATAGTACATCGCTTTGTCAGCTTCCCAGTCTTCAGTGTAGAGTTTCTTAGGGGAAAAGTAACACATTTCAGTGGTGGGACATGATGAAACTGATAGTGAACAAATGAGAGATGATCTGGGCCCTTTGAGCCATGGCCTGGCCTACCTTACTGAACAAGGCTGTATTTTTTATTGCCTGCACAAACTCTGGTGCATCAGGGGGAAGCAGGTATTTTTCCTTATTGTCTTCCCAGTTCTGTTTATATAAAACCTAAGGAAGGACAAAACAACATATAGGTTATATAAACCTTAAGAAAAGTATCTTGTTGTTCACTCAAAGCCTGTGATTAGCCTCTTTTACAGCGAAATAGCCTCTGCAAAAAAATTTAAAACTCCAAAGCTTACTTCCTGGGTAAAGATCTACCAAACCTTCTCTTTCATTCCCTTTAAAAGCATCTGGGGAAGTACTCTTCTGAGATACTTTCTTAAATAATTACTGTGTATTTACCAAACTCTTCCATGTTCAGATCAGTGCAGTTTTTATATTATTATTATTATTATTGCATTGCATTCATATCCTCTTGTGGGGAGCCAAGGCAGCTGGCATTGCTCTATTTTATCCTCACAAAAACCCTGTGAGGTAGGTTGGGCTCAGAGTCTGTTACTAGTCCAAAGTCACCAGTGAGTTTCATGCCCGAGTAAGAACTAGAACCCAGATCTCCCAGGTCCCCAGTGCAATACTCACCACACCATGCTGGCTCTTACTGGTTTGTTTGTTTGTTTCAACTTTAAAATATATTCATGACATTTTAGCTACATTTTAAGCCTCAAGAACCAAGGTGCATTCTTACCTAAGTAAATGAAGGAGCAGTGGCTGGAGTGGCACCTTGTCCCTCGCCATTTCAAACTCTGCAGCTGATTTGATTTACAGAAACCCTTTGCTATTGCTAACTGTGGTAACCAAGCAAATCATGTCCCCAGCCTCCAGACAGATTGAATTTGCCCCAAACTGCAACAGGAATACATGTGAAATGTCTGTGTATTCATGTGGATCATGCCAACTCCCATTAGCTTTGTACCATTCCACAGAATGACTTACTTTGCTAACTTGCTGTGAAACCTTCTTTGCATGTTCAATGTCTCTTGCCTTCTCATCAACATGACAATCAGTTTTAGTCTGATCCCCAGCCATGCGATACTTAACCTACAATAACATATGTACAAAAGTGTTTATTAATTTATTTATAACTGATGAGAACCTTTAGTATACCACAGAAAGAGAGAGAAACAGACAGACTGACAGGTCATGCAACTACTATTTTATGTGGCTACCCTATTTCAACTGATCACAACACTGGTTTGGACCAAAAGAAGCACAAGTGCAGTATGTTCATGCACTGGTGCTGTTCTGTGGATGTTTATACAGCTACATGATGAAGAACCCAGTCTTTGAACATGCAGTGTCTTGTGTGGATATATCATCAAGGATGTGACTATGTAGAATTGCTAATTAGTTGCAATAACTTATTTTATTTCCTGCTGAAATGGTTTACCCATCATAAAGCTGCATTTGTAAGCAACCCACAAGAAATTTCATTGGTGGGTCTTACAAATATACAATGTTTAGTACTAGGCTGTTTATTTAAACTTCCAGTTGCTTTCTTCTGAAATTTGATCTATGTCTCATCTGGGTACACAATAATAACCTGGAATTAGACTAAATCAGATGAAGAGAACTCCTTTTGCTGAGTGAGCAGTCCCAAGGAAACAAAAGAACCAAAGTAGTGAACAAATACAGGATTGGTTGAGACTCATACTTTATCCTGCATTTCCCTATTAGTTTACCACCGATTTTAAACTGAGAATTTAACATTTGGGGGGTTTTTTTTGCCCCAGACTATAATACACTATAACCCAAATACACTATAATCCAAACCTGATATATTGGTGTGCAAAAGCATGTGAGGTATGTGCAAAGAAACATCTTGAGGGATGCATTCAAATCTCTATCACCCTTGCCCAAGCTGTGCTGTAAAGCAGCAAGGGTAAAAGCTGCTTTGATGCCCACATTTCCTCTGACCAATAGGAGCATACACACATACATGCTCAGCTAGTCAAGAATTATTATCCCTCTCCCCTTCACTCACAGGTATCTCGGATTCCAGTCTAAACCCTAGAATTTCTAGCTTGCTGCTGAGTCTGCAGTTTCTTGTGCCAAGAGCCATGATAGCATTTCTCAAGAGGCTCCAGATTAGCTTACTGGTAACATTATCTGTGTGGTTCCTGCCATTCTGACTAAAATTAAAATAGCATCAGAGAGACAGGGCTTCCTGCAGAACACCTAGCAGGCCCGGCACTTACTTCACTCAGCTGGTCTTGCACTTTCTTGATTCTTCGATGTTCCGGAGTGTCAGTTGTGATGGCAACTGGCTTTCCTTTCTGCTTTTCAAACTTCTCTTTGTACTTTTTCTGAGGGGGAAATGCAGCAAAAAGAACAGATATAACATTCAAATCCTGAGCATTTTTATCCTTTTCTTAAAATAAAACGTTTTCTGGAAATCCTAGTACTGTACAAACGCTTTCACTTAAAGTTTTATCATGTTACTTATATAAACATTATCCCCCCCCCTGCTCACACAGACACACACAATTTCCACAATTGTGAAGAAGGAGGCAACCTCTCTTGGACTGGCACTCTATTCTCCAAACAGTAGTTTCAGAGCAGGAAGAGAATGTTGCCTATCAAACCAACTCCTTCACAGCTGGTCAGCAATTGACTGGACATGGTGTCTCAATGCAGAACACCATGCCTTCTATGATTTGTCCTTCTAGCCTGGTTTTGCCCATCGAGTCCCGCAGCAAGCTGCCCGGGGTCTCATGCAGAAGTCCTTCCCAGGTGCCATTTAATTGGATCCTCCTGCATGCGAAACAGGTACTATACCATTTCCGATCCAAAGAAAGATCTGGAAAATCCCTTTTTGCTACAATGCAACTGTGGATAACAATGTTACTACTCTGTGATTAAAGTTTAGTAGGGACATCACATGTGCAATCGAAATTACTTTGGGGCATGCAAGCTGCCAGTCATCCCTTCTGAAATAGAAGATGTCTTTTTTTAAATGATGTAATGATTACATGTCTTCTTTTTATTCATATATACTAATATACGTTATTCATCTATACTAATTTATTCATATATAATAACTAATTTTCCAAGTGCCAATATTTACGCAGTCTTAAATCCAAACAGAATGATCTAGATGCAAGAGGAAATTATCAGCAGATCTGGGAGAAGCCAAAGGCTGGCAGAAGTCCACCCCCACCCTGCCAAAAATCCCCACTTCACAAACCTTTTAAAAAGAAACACAATAAATAGGGGGCATAAGGATAGTCTGATGAGGACTGAGCAGGCACAGTGGTCACAGAATGCTGTGCTGTTGTGTGGGGATTAAAAATCTGGGTAAGGGTGGAATGGACTATTCTGGAAGACTAGCCTGAAGACTGGAGAGCCTAAACAGGAGCACTCCAGAAGGTGTAGCTCACTCTTGTATTGAGCTGGGGCTGGTCTATTATCCAAAGGAGACTTGTTGCAAGGTTCAGAGATATTTAAGCATTAGGTATTCTTCAGCTGGGGCCAACAATAAGCAGAAGCAGGGCTTTTTTTGTCATAGAACGCACCGGAACAGCGTTCCGGCACCTTTTTCTGACGGATTTTTCCAAGTGATTGTGAATCACCCTGTTAGGCGTAATAGATCCATGGCAAAAATTATTAACACAGTGCCTGCGGGCTGCATGTGTGTCAGCACTGATTGTCGGCCTGATTGTGAGGGCGCTGCTCGGCTTATGACGCTGCTCTGCTTGGGATCTGTCGTGCCAGCGGCGGCCATTGTGTAAAAGTGTGACCCCACGACATGAGTTCCAGCACTTTTTTTTTTTTTTTTACAAAAAAAGCACTGAGTGGAAACATTGTTGAGCACCTGACAAAGGTCTACAGATCAGTAGGGACACACTGACAATAGCCCCCAGGACTTGCTTCTTCCCTTCATCATTGCAGCCTACTTATTCACCTGCTTGATCTTCTGCTAATAAGATGGTGAACCAGTAGTGATCAACACCAACCTGGCCTTTTGCCTGCCAGGTAAGCAAGGGGTAGCAATGATTAAGGAAGATAATGAGAAGCAATAGCAACTGAGGGAGGGAGCCCACTGAACATGTCTTGTCCAAAATCCCTCAAAAGCCAGTGCTATCCTGGGACATTCAGTAGGCCACCTAGAAAACCTCCAACTAGAAAATTCCCTGCTTTGTGTTACTATTGAGTAATACAAATAGTAATACAATTGAGTTTAATAGTCATGGAGATAGCTGTGTTATATTTTTGCTACACATATATGCAAATCTACATCAGTTGCTCGATACAGACTTTTGGCTTCCAAATTTCATACAACTACTTGATTTCTCTGACTATGGGGAGCCTACCTTTGTTCTGCTGCATAATCTTTGACTATATAAATAAATCTCTTTTCTAAAGTAATTCTAAAAGTACTAACTTAGCTTTAACTCACTCAAATTGGATTAAATTACTTTGAATTTGAGAGACAACAAACAATGTGCAACTTACATCGCTGAAGAGCTTTTGCATTTTTGAACTGTGGTCCAGGTAAGGTGTCAGAAACTTAGATGTGTCCACTTTTTTCCGAACAACCTTTTTCCTGACAGGAGGGGAAGCTTTTGGTTCAGAAGGAGTGTGCCTAGTTTCCGGAACATGTGTTACACTTTCAGTGCCATGCCTTGACGTTTCTGTAGTACGCTTTGTAGTTACAGTATAGGGAGAGGATCCAGTGGTGTATGTCGTTTCAGTTATCTCAGTAATCACCTAGGAGTGTGGAAATATTGTAGGTTTTAATTATCATCTTAATATTAGAACTTTCTGTCTCCTCTTCACTTTTAGGTTGCTATTGTATAAGCAGATCTGTGTGCATACATCCTTTAAAATCAATCCAATCATGGTTTTATTCAGAGTTAGTCTTGAAGAAGTTATGGACAACTTGGAAAACTAAATTTAGCAATCCCAGGACCCCAGCAACTGACAACTATTTGTACACTTTGTCTGTAACCCATAATTTCATATTTCTGCAGCAGAAAAGAATTATGAAATGTAACATTTGAAATGAGCCTTATAAACAGCTTTCTCCAGCATTTGTGTATTTATTTATAAACAGCTGTTCCTAACATATGCAGTGCTGAGCAGAAAACCCATATAATTGGACCATCTTTTCTGGTTTGTTTGAGAGGTATGCATGTTTGGGATCTGCTGACGAAAAAAGGAATAAAGTGATTTTTTTTGTCTACATGCAGTACTATTTGAGAACCTATTAGCCTATGGAATGACTAATGGCATTCCAATGGCAGCAGTTAGACCTACTACATTTGTAGGGTGAAGCCTTTTCTTGCAAAAGCTGCAAAATGTATCTCTATGATCACAGGCATTGCTAGAAGTGTCAGAGGCATGATCCATTGTACAGGGACAAAACTGCATCAGCCCTGGTGCAGGACAGGCAGGAGAAAGATGACATTAACTTGCCCCCCACCAAAATACACTGCCCTTTGCAAGAGTGCCCTGTGTGCTTTTTATATTAAAATGACACACATCATCCAAGTTGTTTCTATGAGATGAAGATGGCTGACAGTTTTCTAAATAAAGGTATCTGATTATCCACCACTGGGGTTGGATTTCACAAGAGTCTGTCGCACGATCATTCCACACAAAGACCTCCCAATGACATCAGGAGAAGGAAGTCCGAATGTAGCTCAGTGATGGAATAGACCTGAAGGGTAGAAACACTCCCACTGCTGCTTTAGGCTTTATTAAGCATAAATTTGCTTAATTCAGTGAGATAAGACTAGAATCTATGATGAGAGAAGTACTCCACAAGAATGAGTGTCCCAGGAAGAATATGATTCACCAGGCCATCTTTTGAATGAATGTTCAACTGCTTACTTGGCTTCATGATGTAGTACCCGTATATAAACAACTCACTTAAAAGTGGAGCATGTTGATAAACAAAGCTCTGCTTCTTTAATTAATACTGATGCAGATGTCATAAAAATGTTTAACCTCCTAACATTCTAAATAAACTCATTATTAAAAGACATGTTAGAAATACAGTTATTTTAAGGCACAATCCTAGCTCAGGAGTGCTGGGAGTTGGAGAATGCGGGGAATCTTAGGCTAGACAGGGAATGCTAAGGAGTTGTAGGATTTTTCCTGTCTAAACCAGCATAGGATTTCCCCTTACATATGCATTATCTTTTTAATTACTAGAAAACTTAAGCCCACCATGATACACACATATGCTCTATACTGCTAATGTATTTTAAAAAAAACACCACACATCTATATCAGGAAATGTTTTGTCTTCATTTCAAACAGGTGAGGATGAGGATTTTTTTAAAAAAGTGAATAAAGCTTTTGTGCTTAACTATTAGGTATGGATTAAGGATTAGAAGTCATGTATATTGGCTTATTTTGATGTTGTTGCTGTTATTTTGTAGGTTCTATTTCACAGGACAAAACTTTGAGCCCTTAAACCAGAAGGAACATTTCACCTTTAAAACTTGCAAGAGAAGCATATATAAAACCCAATACATCAGAATTTCAGGTTTCTTTAGTAATGTTATGAAGCTGTTATATTTCATAAACCAACAAACAAAAATATAGAAGAATAACATTAGAGCAATCACACTGGAAATGAATGACATCAGACAAACAAATGGACAGAGAGTGAATGTATATGGACATAAAGGATTCCAGGAGGAAAACACAGGCATGTATCTTCATTCTGGTTGTATTTGGTTCTATTCAGCAAATGTTCCCTTCATTTAATAGTCCCTTACTTGCTGTCAACAGAAGCTCAGCTATCAAGATATCAGTATCAGAGGTATGGCCTTATGCACAAATACACAGTGGTGCCTACAACAATCACTCAAGTCACTGCAAGATTAGTCCTTGATGTCATTGGGATGCAGATGACACATTCCATCTGCATCAAGCCATAGGAAAGCAAACCTTGAAAAAACCGAATAGCTTTCAAAGTGCTAAGCAAATAAGCAAGTATAGAAACACTAATGCAATTAGAACCCTTCGTAAATGAATGCCATCAACAAAGCACTGAGAGAAAATAAATCTGGATACTAAGATTTGATCCAGACTTCCTGTGAGTGGAACCCCATTTGTGGGATGCTTCCACTGGAGGAAGGGGTGGGAGATGGGTTTTCACCTCTTCAACCTCCCTCCTGCAATCCCTTAAAACACTGCTCTGGAGGGTTGGGGGACCTTCTGGAAGAGTGTGGAAGGTGCTGAGGGGTTCTGCAGGGAGAATGTAGAATCAGCAAAAACTCAACTCCACCTCTCCTTCCAGTCCCACGGGTCTAGATCTAAACCTATGTCATTGTTGCAATTTTCTGGGATTTTGAGTGATATTAAAGCCCTATTAAATAAGACAGCATATCAAAATTGTTTGATAGCCTATTAGACTATTATAGAAATCCTGTGAGCATATGTGGTAAGCACACATACAATGCTAAAAAAAAGCATTAAAATTCACAAAATAAGAGGCTTGTGCACAAAACAGAGGCTTTTACCTCGCCTGGTTCACCATCTTCAATGACCTCCTCTTCAATATAGTACTATAAACGAAGAAGATACCCATTATTTTTCACAAGATCATTGATATCAAGACACATTTCCCCTTTGACTGAAAGAGCAAGAGGTGAGGCCTTTTGCAGAAATCCTTTGTTGGTGTAGGCCTTTCAAGGTATGGCTGAAAAATATTTGAAGATTCCCAATGGTCCAGAAAAAGATTAAGATTTGCAGACATTTGTTCCATTGCAGCAAAGAGTAATTCATAAACACTAATAGGATTTTGAGTGCTAATTTCCTTCACCACATGCACATCCCGCTGCTACACAGGGAAAATTCTTGCATCCAACGGTTTAGGTTTCTAAACCCTAACCCACTGGATCCTGGGAACTGAAGACTGACTCATAGCCCTATCTTTGATTGTTTTGTTGTGGAAGTTAAATACCATAACATAAAAGAACTAGAAATCTGTTTAATTTACAGACAGATACCTTTTGCCAACTATGCTGTTTTTACAGCAAAGTCCATCCTGCTAGGAATGTACTACATGGGCCTTAGTTCGTGTAAATTGGTATTAGATTTTAGCATCTACTACTATGACATGAAACAAAGAATTTGTGTAGAATACCTGTTTCAATAACATTGGTTGCTTGTGCATCATTAAGCCATATTTTATGTACAGGTCAGTATCAAGACATACTCCTTAGCTTTGCAAGTTCCCTTCCCAGGTGGTTTAGAAAAGCTTGAGTATCTTGTCGAGGCTGGCATTTTTTGACACTGTTGCTGACAATAAGCAGTTTGCATTTCTCAGTGATTGCTATCAGGCCAGGAATTAACTTCAAGAGCTTTATCATCAATTAACTACAGGTGAACTTAACAGTGATTATACTTGGAACAACACAAGCCAAAACTCTGATCTAGCCAGTGATGCTACAAAATTTGTCTAGAACCTACAAACTAGGCCATTTGTATTTGAAGCTCTGGGTATAAATATGATCTTGCAGATATGCAGCCACCACCTACAGAAGGTGTTCAACCAAGCACTTGCTAAGCCCTTTTTTGCTGCTTGCCAGTTTTAGGTGCATGCTAAATATGCTTTGTTTTGCTTTTACTCAGGCTTCTTCCTACCTGTTACTATTAATTAAATATATTGCTAGTTACTGTTTTGGTTATGTGTATGTTAAAATGGATATTTTGTTAAAATTATATCTATTTGTATATGTAACTTTTATTATATACTCCTTTGGTATATCTCTTTTTAAGTTGTATGTAAACTTTTAAATAAATACACCTATCCTCCGGCATACAATTTGGACAGGTGTCACCACCTGCCATTGTCTTAGCTTACTTTAATCTTTGAGATTGTTCAAACTAATGTATTTAACACAGATTGCAAATTATTATTACTACCTGTAGTGACCACCCCCATCTTATGCTGATTTCCACAGATATTTGCATTACCAACATCCCCAAAGTGTGTTCCAATTTTAGACTACACTCATTGTCACAAGAGTGAGAGATCATCAAGGATTATGGAGATACTCACGTCATTAACTACATCATCTACTCTGGAGGCATATATGATGTTACCATAGTTGACACATGAGTGAGTATACTTTATTTTCACATCCCCCTTGTACACTATGATATTATTATCCCCATTTTGCTGATGCAGAGCTGAAGTCAACAGACAGAACCTGCCTAAACCCATTAATTTGTAAATAAGGATTTCATAGGTGAGCCCAGAACCGTATCTGTTGGACTATATATGTTGTCCCTTTTACAGAGTAAAGTATGCCCAATTTAGTAGGACATACAGTAGAGAAGGAAACATCTCGAGCACATGGCCTGATGTTTACTCATTTCCATATCAATGGGGCACATCAAACAAAAGTAAACCCTCAGGAAAAGTTGGCAATCTTCAGGCAGAGTTCTCTATTGTCAACATAAACTGCCATTTTCACAAAGAATTTTGTTGAAGAAGACACTCTTGCTTCCAAGGCTTTACTTGCCATTTCTTGCCTGGATGGGAAGAACACGGGGAGGTATCTTTTCTCACTGGCTGCCAGTGGGGTGTAGGCACGTGCAACGGTGAGAGCACACATGTCTACAAGTGTGCCAGCACAAAAGAGAGCAAAAGAGAAAGTAAGAGGAGGTGTGGAAGAGAGCTTGACTGAGCACGCATGTGTGAAGTGTGCTGTTCATAAATGACCACAGGTACTGTGTGTGTGTGCGCGCGCGCATACACGTGTATCAGAAAGACAGTGAGAAAGAACTCATGTGGCAACAAGAGGGCATGTCACAACAAGTCACTCCTAGCAACAAATGTGATTCCTTGTGGCCTACTGACCAAATTAAAATTGGCACTGCCGCCATGCTCCCTGCAAAACTGGTTGCCTAGCTCTGATCTGCAATGCCCTCACCTACAGGGCAGTGCAAGCAGATGTCCCAAGGTTAAATGTCCAGGCTATTTTTGGGAGTCCTCTATTGAATGTCCCTTAAAGTCCCATTTTGATGCCTTATGAGAAAATAGTTCTTTGCTCAGCAAAACTTTAAATTTGTTTCTGAGCATAAATCTCTCTCATATAGTTAAAACATGAGTGTAATGTATAATTGGCAAGCACTGATCAAAATTAAAGCTATTTTAATGTTTCTGAGCTAAATAGATTTAAACTAATACCAGACGCAACTGTGGCCATTGTGATTATAAATGCAATGACTATCCAATAAAGAAAGAAAAAGAAGACAGACATCTGGAGAAACAACTACACACAGCATTATTCAAAGTCAAACGAAAATGACACTGTGAAATATAAAACAATTATGAATCTAATGAAAAACAGACTGTGATGAGAGAATGGGCATGAATAGTAGACATGGTGGGTATTAATGTATAAAATAGTATGACAGCTCTTGCCACCATGATAAAACAAAAATTTTTGGGTTAGACATTGCAACATTTGTTATCAATACTTTAGACTCCAGTAAAATTGAGCTCTGCTGTCCAAGATTGTCGAATCCTTATGCAACACGCAATCCTGAAGACAATGTGCAGAACTAGGTGTTGCCTTGCACACTGGGCTTGTACACCAGTGATAATCAATCATGGGGGCACAATCCATGATTGGATCCTGCTCATGTGCAAGGCCAGTACAAACTGCACAGGCTGCACAAGTGGCTTTCTGTGGTAGAAGGTTGCCCTGTAAGAAGAAGTACCCATGCTGTGGGCAGTTCATATGTCAAATGTCATTGAGTCAAAGCCACATGGAAGCTTTCTTCTGCTGAGTCAGAACATTGCTCCTTCTAGTGTGAACCGGCAAACTCTAGGGGCAATGGTACTCCAGGGTGTCAAGCAAGGGTCTTTCCCACCTTTACCTGGAAATGCGAGGCATGGAATTGGCAAGCTTTTATACACAAAGCATGGCCTCTACCACTGATGTACATCCTTTTCTCCAAATCCATCCACTGGAGTAGCACCACTGTTTACAGTGGGCTTGCACAAGGACTTTTGAGAACTTCCTGGATGCCATGTTTGAATAGGAATTGGAAAAAACAAACAAAAACCTTCTACCACTACTACAGGCCTTGTTTAAGAGCCAAGACCATAAAGACTGCATTGCTCTTAAGGTCCCCTTTTGTAATAATAATGCAGTTGCATTCTTCATGTTATTTACAGAGCATGTTTAACTGAAGGATGAGGGCAAGTGAGGGAAGAAAGATGAATGTAAGTGCTGCATTGCTTTCATACATTTTGACTACTCAGTGTACTGGGACTTGGCCAAGAATACTCAGCAGCTGCAGGAGGTCAACCATAGAGATGATATCTGTTTCTATAACTAGCCAGTCAGGACATCAAATCTGAGGACACTCACATTTCAGAAGCTCCTGGCTTGCTGTTAGTTGCTGCTATTTCTTCTCAGTCATGAGTAAATCCGTATTGCTCAAGACAAAGGAAGAAGTCAGTGGAATATTTGGGGGGTCTTACCTCCACAACTTCATCATATTCCTCCTCGTCCGCCATCTTTGCAGAGTGCCTGTCACCTACTCACTGGCCACAAAACAGGTGAAAAAAGAACATCAGTCTGATGGACTAACTCTGTACACTATACACAATCAAAGCTGGCCTAAGCATGCATCAGGGCACAGTTTTAATGTATGTGTGAGAGAGTTTTTAAACTGCATGTTCACTTATAGAATCATGTTCACTGGAAATACAGAGAGGGCAGAAATGAAACAATTCACATCATTATAACTATTTACAATATTGCAAAATATTTTACCAGCTCCAATAGTTCCATTTGCCAAACCATAAAACTACCCACAGTCTTTCAAAAAATAAATAGAAGAATATGACCTGTTTTAAAATGTAACTGTCTGTGATTAATCCCTGAGGTGATATAACTTGCCATTTTTCCATTATCAATATATGGCATAGCCTGGACAACCAGTTTAACTGAAGTAATACTACCCTCCTTACATTCTTCAGTCATGCATATTTTTTGCCACTAAGATAAGTTGGATCATGGCATACTGCTTTCACACTGTCTGGATTATAACCCAGCCGCCGCCACCACCACCACCATCATCCTGATATGTTCTTTATGTGTAACATGACAATCTTGCTGTAGTGGTGCTTGGCTCACGTCCCAGTGTTTTAAAACTTTTTGGTTACATTTGGAAATTGGAAAAGGTGCTGCAGCTTCTACCACAAAAAACCCTAATTAGGGACCACTGCTTTGGCATCTACCCATTGCATCTATGGATCTTGGACTTTTTTTCATCAATGTTCATTCAAAACAAGAATGTCTAATTCATACAAAACTGCCAAATCTGGGAAGTTGCTGTCAGCACAATACAGCCATTGCTTCATTCAAGCACATTTTGGTGATTTCCATAGTTTTTTGTTTTTGTTTTTGGAAATGAGGTAATTGCATTGATACATTTGGTTTTAGAACAGTTTTTAACATTCACTGTTATACACAGTCCTTTATTTACCTGCAATGGATTCTCTGTGCCCTTTAACAGCTAACGGGCTGATATTACAATTTTGGAAGGATCAACACTCACTTCCTAGCATGTGGAGAACTGAGGATCATAAAATACCTTCAGTATTTGAACAGGTGGCATACAGATGCTGCCTTCAAATAAATACTTATTTGGGTAGCTGGCCTGGTTTGGTGGAAGTCCATACACAATTGCTACGCATATTCACATGAGTACAAATCATTTACATGTCTGAACAAATGAAAGATAATTATGTTTGGATGCTCACACACATGCTGTTGGGTATGCCCTTGGGGATACAATTGGAGGTGCCAACAGGCACCATGGCACCACAATCAATGTGATAGGGATCTTGCTCTTATCTATTAGGATGCCAGGAAAATGCATATATAAACCAAAAATATCTAAATTATTATATGCACCTATTATCTTTTCCTTAAGATAGCTGCAATGTGCAAAATCAGGAAGATTCTGCTATGAAATAGATTTCTGGAGTGGTCAAACAGGGCATCCCCAGTAACACATATGATTGCACTATGAAAATACACATGAGCTACAACCCAGAAGCATGCATCTTGTGTATTATGCATTGAGCCTTCATGCAAGACCTTCTTAAGAGGAGGGAGAGAACTGAAACCTCTTTCCTGGCAGTGGCTTCCACCACAAGGCCAAACATTTGCAATGCTTAAGCCCTATTAATCTTTCTTGGGTGGAAATATCATATGAAGTTCTGTTCCCAGGAACTGCTGCCAGAATGCTTTGAGCATTCTCACTGGCAACGTGCATGTAAGTGCTTAGGATGTGTTGTGCCAACTGTTGTGCCAATACAATGTCAGACGATGTAATGTTAGAATGGTACCGCAGTCAGAGATTCTTGGTAAATATTTAAAATATGGGCATTAAAAAGTGATGAATTATCTTTTCCAGTTATGCTCCAAAACTGCTTTAAAAAACTTGCCTAGCCACCTCTTGTGAGCAGATTCACCTTTAGGAGACTGACTAGGGAAGCTTTTCTAAATAAGAATTGTTGGTTCTCTCCCTCATCTTTTGGACAATCTACAGAAATTGCTTAAACAAGTTTAATTAGCAGCCAGTAGACTATGAATGTTTGAGGTCTTTGCAAATGTCTTATAACATCATTTGGATACACAGAGAAACACTAAATCACAACAATGCATTTCAAATGACCTTAAGTCAATGAAGTTAACTTCTCTCTTCCCACCATAGGCATGTATGGATGCTCCCTCTGTCTGCGTCAGTAATTCTTTTCTTTGTATATTTGTTTTCAGGTCAGACCTAGAAAATATCAAAACACTTGTATCCGGGGGTGCATAGACAAAATGAATGAACTGGACCAAATTTTGTCCAGGGGCTTCTGCAATGCTCTGGACTTGCTGTGAGAAGTGGCAGCCCATTTCTAATGCAGGCAAAGAGATGAAGGTTTGCGACAGCTGCTTCCTAGTTCAAAGATATTTGCCTTGAAAGCTAATACCTCAGACTGATTGGCTCGATTTGTTTAGCTAGCTAAACTGCAATTCCTTCTGAGGCAAGTGGCAGTCCAGTACTGTGGGTTAAATATAGGCTCTTTAGACTCAGTCTCTTCCTAGAGCCAATTTTGTTCAGACAAGTTGAAATGAAATGAGATTTGAAATGAAAGTGCCCGTTTTATGAACAAAACTGGCCAAAGCTCGAAGGGCAGAGGAGGCCAGAGCCATTTAGACTGGATCACCCAGATTCCACTGATCTTCCTAGTTTCTGCACTAGACATCCTGAAACCACAGATCATTATCTCATTTCCCCTTTGGTAAAAACTTATCGAACTCAGTACAGACACATCTCACTGAGTAGCATAAGCAAGCACTGAAAAACAAAAACAAAAACAAAAGAAATATTCATTAGCTCTTATGCAGCTAGGGGCCCAACAGGTCACAAAGCCCTTGAAGAAACAAACAACTAGTTTGGCCAATATCAGCAACACAGAAAACAAAATATAAAAGTTTTCTTTTAAAAAATGAGTGGGGGGGCTTACCAGCAATATTTAAATAAATTTCTTAGCAGCAAAGCCTCTCCAACTGTCTTCCCTCCTGAGAAACGCTGGGCAAAAGCAGTATTAGTCTGGTGCATCAGCTCCTAGATTATCATGTGGTTGGGGCAGCCAATCAGATTCAGCCTCGATCAAGTTTCAGATACTAAATATACATAGTGACCCTCTGGAAGACCACCTGTTCATACCCCACAAAGGAAAGGAAAGTAGCACATACTCGTCATTAGTTTGGTTTCTAACCAAAACCAAAACTGAGCGCATCAACTCATCTAAAGTTATGATTTGCAGAATGATGTTGTTACTGCAGCTTGTCATGTAGAAAAATAATTTGGGCTGACCTATTGAGCAGTGGGGAAGGGAGGCACTCCACATATTTTCCTAGAGAGAAATCTAGCCTCTCTGCTCTGGCTGGTTTACAGAAGCCTTCTGCCAATGGCTGGGAAGATTCACTGGGCTGGCCCATCAGAATGGGGTTCCCCATTTGGCCTTCCAAATTGGTCCACATCTTGGAGGCAGATGAAACATGGAAATAAAGTGCAGATGCAGAGGGCACAGAACTGTTGCTCTGGTCTACAGCATTCCAGGAGAATTGCCCACTTCTGAAGCATTTTTAAAAATCAAAACTGCATCAGGTGGGTTCTTGGCTCCCTGCCCACCAAGCTGACTTTTTTAAAAATGTAGTTTTTTACTTCTAGACATTTACTTCTAGACTCAGGAAGGAACTGATGCTAGCTGCTGCTTAATAGTGCCAGAAAGAAATTTTATGCACACCTGAGTTAGGTATCTCAGTTTCATACTCACAGAGGTCTTCCAGGATGTCCCAGTCTTACGGTTATTCCAGCATATACAGACCTTCTGCTGCAGCTCCACTGTCACTTGCAGACAGAGATCTGGACACAGATTACAGGAGGCATGACAAAATTACCCTTCATAAAGCAACAGACCCATTCAAGATGAATCCCAGGTTGGCTTCATAAGGGTGGCCAAAGGTTGCCACTATAGTCTGATGATGTAGATCAGTGGTGTAGTTGTGGCATTTTCATTTGGGTTGCACCAGTGAAGCTGTGTGAGTTTATTTCCCATACAGGCCTGTGCATTTTTTTCATGAGAACTGTTGTAATGCAGTGGTAAGGAATGGTGGCAGAACAAAAGCAGAATGTAAACAAAATATTCAGCATAATAGATTCACTCTCATTTCATGGAAAAAAAACTCTAACACTTTATTTCATTTTACCTTTTCATTTTTGCTTTTTTAACTTTTTGAACTTGACAATAAAAATGAATTAAAAAAGAATGCATGCAGAAAGCCAGTAAATCCCCAGCTGAAATCTAATCTGAACATGATTTGCCAAGGCAGACTTCGGCAAGCCTTTTAATGTCAAATAACAGGATCATAGAATACTTCAGTGCAGGTGATTTTTGCCTGGTATAGAGAACAGTCCACCTGAGCACAGCTGATCAGGAAGCTGATGTACATGCACAGAAACCACACAAACAGCAACCATTGCTCAGCATACTGTCCCTTATTTGTTTTAAATCATTCCTGATCATCAATGACTATACCTTTTCTCTGTTGACCTTGCCTTTAAAAATAGCACTTACCTACAGCCTAGAAGCTTGGGGTTAATTGCAGAGATGAGACACACATTTGAGTGACACCACAGTATTTCTACGACACTTTAAGACAGATGCAGAATGGTTCATCCATAGTTTAAGACGGAGTACAAGCATGTGGTGACTTCATAAACATTTGAATGATGAATTCAGTTTCCAAATTTAAGGTGTGGACAGGAGCATTTTAAATTATGCGATATGTTTGGGTCCAAAGTACCTCCCCCCCCCCCTCCACCGAGTATTGACAAAGTGAGGTTGAGCGAGATCAGGAGGATTAAACAAATAAAATGTGCTGGACATGTTTGCAGGCTCTTACTAGGCTGAATCCAGTTTCACCCTCTGTACATAACTAGCAGAGAGCACCATATAAACAAAGGTGTAGGTGGGTGCCCTTCCAACCACACCCTCCAAGGAATAAAGTCTTAACACCTGCACCATGTCATGAAGATCACATGAGTGTGATCTCTGGTGGAATCAAGTATGTGTGTAATGCTGCAAGGGGACAAATTGGGGGGATCTCTGCAGGATTTGATCCCAGCTCAAAACATCAGATGCAATTTGATGTTTATTACAAGTCTAAGAACTGAACTAATGGATGGAATGGCTTGTGAAGTTATGTACCATTTACAAACAAAGCAGGGTATGAAGGCTATCTTTAAAAAAACAAATCCCAGGGCTATTAGAAGATGGGTTCATTTGGGGTATGCAAATTTTGCCCACTGGCATCTAATACCTGCTGCATGAACAGAACCCTTGACCAAGATAGGGTCTGATCCAGCAGGGCTCTTCTTACCACTTTCCATACAGGCACTTTACCTTTCAAATGGTCACCTCCTCATAATTTGTCCTCAACCAGCTTCAGTAGTGGAGTGCATGTGTGTTTGCAGGGAGGACAACATGCCCCATTTGCTCTCCCTGCTCCCATTTAGCTGGACCATGCCCTGGCTTAGGAGGCTGTCACAAAGGTGGCCACCCCCCCACCCCCAGTCTCTTCCCACTCCTGGAATTCAGGCTGGAGCTCAGCCCATTATTGGGAATGCACTTTCCCAGCTGCTGGTGAGCACTGAAAGATACATGGCTCCAATGTGTCATAAAATGCCAGCCCATGGGACTGTGTAGGCTGACTAAAGCTCTGACAATTTTGCTCAGTCATAATTAAAGTTTACAGCCAAAACTTCTTGTTGTTTGCTTTTTAAATTATTTATGTTAAGATAACATCAGTACAACAGTGAAACCATGTGTTACATTCACCAGAGATGCTTTCCAGTGAAAAGAATACAAGATCATATATTGCATTCAGGCACAAGGAACCGACAGTATACTGTGCCCCTAAGAATATCTTGGCCTCCAAAGGTGAGCCTCCCTTCCTTCACTGGGAGTAACCATGCTGCAGGCCTGGCCTGGAGACCCCTGCTAGGAGAATGGATACGTATGTCCCTAACTAATAAACCAGTTAATTACCAATATTTCTGTGGAGTGTGAAACAATCGTTAAGGGAGACTCCATGCTCCTCTTTGCTGATGCTCTTCCCAAACATTGAGGTCTTTAGGTGTTTTTCACAGTGTAAATACAAATGGCAAGGTCATTTGAAAGCCACTATTGATAAAGTGGAGTTCTGTGATGCGCTGCTCTTAGTACAGAATGCAGGGATTATAAGCCACATCACACACCAATTCCTGAACAAAACAGCCAGTATTAGTGTAGGGGTCAGAGTGCTGGGCTGGGACTCAGAACTGAGTTCTAGTCCCCACTTGACCATGAACCTCACTGAGTGACTTTGGGCCAGTCACAGACTCTCAGCCTCGCCTACCTCACAGGGTTGTTGTTGTGCGAATAAAATGCCGAGAAGAAAGATCATGTAGCCAGCTGGATTCCTTGAAAAAGGAAAAGGTGGAATGCAACAGCAACTGATTTGCATTACCTTCACTCACATGCCTGCATGAGTAGAATCTGAACAGAAATGCAAGATAAATTCAACAATGTAGGTGTTGCATTTGTCAAGATCACCTGATCTCACTGGAGTGCTAGAGTCAGATGAATCATCTCTCCATTTTAAGACTAAAGCAGATTATCTTAACGTACTCATGCTGCCTGTATACTAGCAGCCCTACCAGCTCAGCCCAGAAACCAAAAGTCAGAGGCCCAGGGCACTGAATTTCAAAATTCCGTATCACAGAACTATTCATCCTTCTTCAGTTGTGGGCACATTTGGCAATATGAACATTTTTCTTGGGCACCACCACAAAATGGCTTTCAGGGAGAGCACACTTGCCTAAAAGACTGCATACAAGGGATAAGTAGGGACTGATAATTCCTTAAATCCAAACTGTTCAGCACCAACCGAAACTTATTTCACAGCAATGCCAGCCATCAGTAAGCGAATCCATTCTTTATGCAGCAAAAACAGCACCATACATTCACAACAGAAAGATTTCAGAAGGCTTGTGGGTACACTGACGTTTGCAAGACATACCAAACAAACAAACAAACAAACAAACAAATAAAATGGGAACAGAGACCTACCTAAGCGATGGTGGAAATCAGTAAGAGCCCCATGAGCCTGTCCAGTGGCCACAGAAAGCTAGGTTTCTGCTGGATTGGGGCAGGGGGGCAAATGAAATGGAGTATGCTGGATAAGGTCATAGCAGATTGGTGGGAGGCCTGAAGAGAAGTCCTCTGCATTGCAGTTCCAGTTCCAACCCAACTACACAAACAATGAGTTGTAGCAAAGGCCTGAGAAGGGTTAACTCTAAATACAAGTGGTCAACCTGAAACTTCTACTTTCAGGGATGGTGTGTGTGTGTGGCGGGGGGGGGGGTGGGATCTGTAAATTGTTGCTCAGGGCGAGCTTTATTATTTTCCCTCTGTATTATGTGATCAGGATCTGGCTATTGTAATATGCTGACATTTGATACTTTTGCTGCCATGCACTTACTTTTTCCCTTTTCTTTCAGTACCCCAATCCCCTCTCCCCTTCTCGATGCTTTAATGAACTCTCTTCCACCCTAATGTGCTGCTTGGGTGTTAAATCCAGTGCCTTGGCCACAGTGGCCCTTGGACTGGTGCGGCCCAACAATGGTGGGACAGAAAATCGGATTGCTGTTACACCATTATTACTTTTGGGGGCAGTGGGAAAGCCCAAAGTGTTCTCTGTGTTCAGCTGAACATGCTCAGAAGTCTCCCTGCAATAATGTGGGCTCACCGCCAGCTCCATATCACCATTTTTAGACACCAGGCCTGCTTCTTTCAGGCATGCCAGGTGAGGGCAGGAGTCCATCTGGTGGTCTTCACTGAGGCAGAAAAGACAAAATCAATGTCCATCTCAGAACACATTCTCAGAATGCTGCTTTGAGAGCCATCAAGAAGAAAGAGGAGAAGAAAGCTGAGGAAAGAAGGCGATAGAAGGAGTTTGTTGATTTGTTTGTTGTGGGGGGAAAGAGGCATAGAGATATGA